ATATACGGTACGGGTCACTATTCATTATATGTTTCGTGAAGCAAGGGGTAGCTGATACGTACATTGGACAAAAGAGAACATTCCTCCTCAAATATCAGTATTTGGTTCAGTAATTTTTTCTTGAATGTTTATATTACAGACTTACTTTTAGATCTTATTTGGGAGTGATTCTGGATATGCCGGAATCACTTCTGAAGGGAATGCGTTTCTCCATATAATCACTTAAAACCACTTAAAATGCTTTTATTATATATATATATATATATATATAGAGAGAGAGAGAGAGAGAGAGAGAGAGAGAGAGAGAGAGAGAGAGAGAGAGAGAGAGAGAGAGAGAGAGAGGTGATTTTCCATATAAGTGTTTTTTGGTCTACCCATAATCACTCCCAAAAGAGCCCTTAATATGTATGGTTGTAAGATTCATCGGTTAAGGAGCTTCTTTGTAAACTTTTTATCTTTTTGAAGAAAAAAATAACTCATTATATTTATCATATCTTTTATGAAACTAATATGGTAGCTAATACATTGGCTAAAAAAAAAAATAGACATTCCTCCTCAAATACAAAATTACTTTTAATATGTATGGTTGTAGGATCCGCCTCAGGTCTTCTTATTGGAAATATTCTTAAAAAGCCAATTATTTAATGTAATTTTTAAAGGATATTTATTGAATCAAATGACAAGTTTATTGTTTAATAGCAATTGTCTTATTAATAGTTATACATGCTTAAACAATAAGTTCAAAGAATATGAGATAAAGATAAAATAATATAAAGAAGTTAGATTTATGAGACATTTACTTTTTAATCGTCATATCTTAAATAGTTCATAGTCATATAATTATTAATTGTTAATTAATAATTAATAAAGACAAGTACATACTACGTCTTCTCAATTGAAAAGATGATTAGTCTCAACTCAATCAAGTGGAGACACTAAAACACATGTGTAGGTATTGAATTGTGGGGTTTTTTCCTGCAAAAGGCTTGTGTCCTTTTTGTTTAGTCTATGACTCTCCTTGCCTTTGAGAGCGAGTGGATTGTACCCCACTCATGTCCGTGTTTGGCTGCTCTTCTTCTGTGGTTGTTTATTTAGAGTTTCTGTAGCAAATCTACAACAATGTTTTGGTGGATCTATTTTCTTTGGGTACTTCAGTTTGTCCCGATGACGACTAGGTGGTTGAATTATTTACTTTCAGTTTCTTAAGTTACAATAATTACAATAATTCTTTGTGAGTGTGGCGTTTGTTTGTTGTCTAGTTTCTACTTATGTTTTATATTTGTGAGAGTTTAAAGATTTGTAGTTGTATTTGTAGTTCGGAGCACCGCGGTTCATGTTTGGTTTGTTCAGGCTATCGACTTTTATGTCGAATTTTCTTTGGCCTTATGTGGCTATTAGTGGAGATATATCTAGTGTGCTTGTTGCTAATGTATTCCTCCTTATATAGACTAGTCTCTCTGCACGCGCTTCTGAGCCTACAAGAGGTTTTTTTATAAAAAAATTTTAAGTTTATTTTAAAATATAGAAAAAAGATAATGGGTAGTCGTGTTTCATAAAAATAGGATCCATTTTCTTATTTTAATTTTTTAAATATGAAAAGTGTGAATTTACCATATTATCCTCATTTAATTAATAATTTAAATTCTTAATGTTTGCATTAACTAATGGTATTTTCTGGTATTTTGAATGTTTCACAATTCTTTGTCGTTTGCTTTATATATATAGATTAACTGTAAGTAATCACTGTGTTTCCATATTTGTATTAACCTCTCATAGTTATCTGCATTTGTTTTAGCTCTCGTGGTTGACGATCTTTGTACTTGATTTATGAATAATAAAAAAAGGGAAAGATAAATCCTCACGATTTCATGAGAGAGAAAACTTCCTCCACCACCTCTATCTCTCTTTTAACTTCCTTCTTTTTGTTTTGGACAAATCTTTTAACTTCCTTCTAGTCAGAGAATAATTGTGCAAGGGAATAAAACGAATTGGTCCAAGGTGTTGTGAACTGATGAAGAATTGAGATCTCAGCTAAAGTGAGTAGCTACATGATAAATTAAAGAGTAGATTTGAAGCCAATGAATGAGGATTCTACGTTCGGTGACAAAATGGCGGCAAAAGGCGTCACATTTGATGTAGTTTTCCTTTGCTTTCCATTCACTCCATGACAGAAATTGGAAGAATATATCATTGCATTTGGATATTGATTCAAGCTGTTTAAGTTCAGTGGTTGGCAGGTCAGCTTCCATAATTTCTCACTCCTCTCCTTGGACTATCCAGTACTACATTCGAGTCTTTTAGTTCATGAATTTTGTTGGGGCTCTTACAGATTGGTAATGTTGTTGGCCCGTGATTCAATTGTGGGCTGTCCACTTTACTTATTTATTAAGAAAAAAAGAAATAATTTTCCGTTGGATTTTGTTTTTAACAAAATCATATTTTGAATTATTATAATGTAACGAGAGGATCGAACTTAGGTGCAAAAGCGCATGCACATTGCCATATAGCCAACTAACCTAACCTAAGTGTGCAATTCCGTGGGACTTAAGAGTCTATAATGTAGATTCATATCTCTTTATCATTTAGAGTTGGGCAGATATCTCCACCCCCAGCAATGACTTATCGTCGAAGGCCATCCTTGCCAGCGACTCCCTGAAGCCGGCACGACCCTCATTTTCTATACTGGCTCCTTTTCTTTTCACACACACTTTCTGCACGTATGATATTTGTTATAAGTATTGTTTGTGAAGGATTAGGTAGACACAAGAGATTAAGGGCTATCGAGAGTCATGAACAATTAATAATTAATTTAATTAGAGAGTTAGTTAGAGCCATGAAATATAATTAATATGAATGATTTGGATAAAGGATGGAGCTCTGGGTTGCTGGCTGTCATGGGCAAGTACGTAGGAGGGAAGGGGGACCAATACAAGTTGCAAGTTTCAAGCAGTGTGCTGTGGTCGTTGGCTTGTTGCACAAAATAAGCATGTCCGGGACCCCGCTATGTTGGATAAGACATGATTACTGACTTGGTTGGCAACCAACAAAGCCAACTACTTGCTCTCTACCAAAGTTAGCCAACTATATATACATATATTTAATACAAACGATAGTCTAAACTACAAAAGAGAGGGGGTTTCTTACTAGACACTACCAACGTGTTATGGGGAGTTCAAACTTGAAACCACATGTGTGCAAGTCAAGGCTCTTATCAAGTTGTGAACAACTAAATAGGCGAGTATGATGCTCTAAGAAAACACTAAAATGACAACCATTTTATTAAGTGGTTAATGGTTTTGTATTCAATTGATTTTTTTTACAAAGATGATCTTCAAATAAATACTTAAAATGTAAATGCTTCGTATTATCAAAATACAATGCAGAGTGTTCCTCACATAAACTCATTTGAAAAATTCCTCAATTGATACTATTGAAGAATATATGAGTCCCACATCGGAAACTTAACAAAATAGAAAGTCACATATAATAAATGGTTTCACTCATAATAAAATCGAAGCCTTATGTATAAAACCCCACACTTGCTAAACAAATGATTAAGTTGGAAACAATATCAATATAACCAGTGGTGGACCAAGAGTCCGTCTCTCTTAAATCTTAACAGATGCTATATATATAGCCCGCACCGCAGCCACAACTATAGTTGCTCAATGAATCCAGTGTTATCATGCATGCGTAGGGATGTGATTGTGAATGTGATATTCACGTCCAATATTATAGGTTGTGGATCCCATTTAGTGGGAAATTTGGGTACCATTCCATCAGTTCCATGCTGATTATGATATGCACACACGGCCCACTTTGAGGTTATAGTGGCTGTAGGCGAAAACCGAAAAGGGGTCCTACATTATACATATAGCCTAATTCCTTGAAAGAAAAAATGTTAGCTTTTAATGGATAACATATATAACTAAAGATGAAAAAAGGAATATATGGATATTCTACCATAAAGAAATTATATGACTTATCACCGAAAAATTGAATGTAAAACCAATGTGCTAGAGATATTTAATTTTTGAGATAATTTTAGCGATGCCCCCTAAAATATAGACCTTGTTTCACTTTGTCTTCTCAACTTTTAATTTGATTTTAAGCCTCCTAATGTTTCAAACCGTATCAATGTGGCCCCTTTCGTCAAGTTTGTTAATTCCTTCGTCAAATTTTGGGGGTGTTTTTGTTCATTCAAGTTAAGATTTGGTTTACCCACTTGAACTCTAATTAATTCGATCCATTCTTCCATTCATAGACCATTTTCACTTATGAAATCTCCATTTTGCGCATATTTTCACTTTTTTCTATGTTGATTCAGAATATGATTTGATCTGAAGATTTGATCACGTAAATTAGGCTTTAAGTTGGTAAAACCAAATCCTTGAGTTGGCCAAAATGCAGCTGAATTTGACAGAGGAATTCGCAAACTTGATGGAAGGAGGCACATTAACACATTTTGAAAAATTAGTGGGCCTCAATACCAAATTAAAGTTCATAGGGCAAATGGAACAAGGTGTATAAATCAGGGGGCAATGCCTTCTTTTTAGTCTTTAATACAAATTTATAAATAAACCCAATTCTATATATGAATTTATAAAAAAAAAACCCAACACTGTTTAAAACATAGAAACACACCCAAAATCAACCCAAAAATCAACAATTGTATATTTTTTGGGTGTGTTTATAAATGGGTTTTGAGTGTGTTTCTAAAGTGTTTTTCATGTTGGGTTTTTTTATAATTTCAGCCCCTATTTTGGGTGTATTAGTGAAACTCCCTTTTAAAAAGTTGAATGTACTGTTTTAAAATAAAATTTATGTTGGCCTAAAAAACAGTATTTTGGTTCTAAAAATAAAAAATAAAAAAATTGTTCTGGACCGTTAAGCCTTGGTAGTGGGGGCCTATGATGGAGTTGGATTTAGCAGTCGCATCCTTGCCCACTCGTTGACAATGTTGGGCTTTCCTTATTAAGCCTTGGTAGACTTCGTGGACTATGGGCTTCAGAAAAAATGTATGGCACCCGCCTAAGAGCATCTCCAGCGCAAAGCCTAGCCCGGGGGAAAGATTGCCAGAGGGAGCCCGAGGCAGCTCCAGCACAGGGCCCGTAGCCCGGTTTGGTGGTGGGTCCCACGTGGCCGAGCAAGCCCAAGGGCAAGTCTTGCCCGGGCTGAAGCCCGAGTTGGCTGACGTCAGCGCACAGTAAAACAGTTTTTTTTTTTTTGCCAAAAAAATTCGAAAAAAATTCGAAAAAATTCTGAAAAATTCTGATTTTTTTTTTAAATACCAAAAAATTATGTATTTTTTCCCTATAAATACCTAACCATTTTATTCACTTTCTACACCAAATCTTCATAAAAACTTCATCTCCTTCCATATTATTTTTCACATCAATTCACAACATCTAAATCATTGGCAACAAAAAAAAAAAAAAAAAAAAAAAAAAAAAAAAAAAATTTTTATTCAATTTAATGTCTTTATATATATATATATATTTCTTGCATTTCCAATTTCTTTTTTTTTAATAGATTAGTCAAGGCAAAACCAAAAATGTTATTCGAAAAATTTTATCCAAAAATTTTATTTGAAAATTTTATTCGAAAAATGTTATCTTAAATTTTAAATGAAAATTTTATAATAAATAGTGACACGTGACAACCGAAAATATAATCTAAAAAGCTTATCAAAATTAATAGTTTAAAGTATAAACAAATAGGAAATAAAGTACAATGAATAGTAATTGCCTTAGACTTGCCCTAGACTTTGCCCTCATGGGTGGAACCACAAATGCAAAGGCTGACACTATTCACGTGAATAGTGGCAGCCCTTGCTTGCCCTTGCCTTAGACTTAGCTCTTGTGGGTGGAGATGCTCTAACCTAGGCCCAGAACTCTTTAAAAAACTTTAAAAAAAAAAAAAAATTAAAAAAAAAAAAAAAAAAAAAAAAAAAAAAAAAAAAAAAAAAAAAAAACGGCTATAATATTAATTTAAAAACATTTAGCCCTGCGGTACAGCCGCCCGGCTATAAGTTTTTAATATAACATAATTTAAGTATAGCCGCCCGGCTATACCATTAATTTTTAAAAAAATTTAAAACACACCGGAGTATAGCCGCGCGGCTAGGCTATACTATTTATAAAAAACATTTTAAAAAACCCAATATAGCCGCACGGCGGTACTATTTATTAAAAAAATTATATTTTTGGCAAGTTACAACTGAAAAGTTCAGCCACTATATAATATTTTACAGTATTTTATTTTAATAGATATTATTTGAATTCAATAATATGTGAAAATTATGTGTGTAATACTTGAATTTGATGTGTATTATTGAAAACTTTGTAAACACTACATGTATTGAACATGAAAAATATGTACGTACGTGTAAAATATATGTATTGTATGTTTGCTTTTTTTAAAAACTTGTATTTTACCGAGCCTTTAAGACCTGTACAAAAAACAGAAGTATTATTGAAAAATGCATACGTACGTGTATAATACAAGTATTAAACGAGAAAATATTAAATTCTTTATACGGATAATAACTCTGGAAAAGTAAAAAATCAAAAGGGGACAATAAGTACTTGAGTAATGGTCTAATAGTAACCCCCAAAACACAAAAACCCTAGAATATCAAACCCTAGAAACAACAAGCAGTCGTCGTCGCCGCTGCAGCTAGAGGAAGAAGAAGAAGGTTCAAGGGAACCATCAAAGGGGATCTGTAAAGCGTGGGATTGGAGAAGGAAGCCACCAACATTCATCATGCTCAAGCGATCCATGAGCAGGTATTGGTCCAAATGGACCATTAAACTACAAAGCCCACACCTCCATAACATGATCTCAGATATGAGGATGGGTTGTAGGGGAAAAACAACAACAACAAACAAGTAAACAACCAAGAAAATTCTAGAGAAAGAGGAGGATTTTAGGGTTTAAGTTTTCCTGGAAGGGGGAGAGAAATGGACTGATAGAGGGTGAGTACACGTATGAGAGGAAAAAAAGGGTGAGAGAGGTGAAATGGTTGAAGAGTAGTGGGGGAGGAGGAGATGAGGAAAACTAGGCCTACAACTGGAAAATCAAGAGAGAGGAGGGCAAACAGACTCTTCATTCCAGAAAAGATACCACCAAAGAGAACAAGGATGGAAGCCTATTGGACTAAGACAGATAATGTATTCATCCAATTTTCCTTGAGTACCTCCTTGTTCAAAAAGTAAGTCGATCGATATGACACAAAACATGAGCAATTAATATAAACATACACTCTTGCTTGAGCAACACAAAATTGTTAGCATCATGAATATGACTTACAAAATTAAGTTTTATTTTGAGCGCTCTAAGCTCAATACATATATGAATTCACGTTTTTCATATTTCTTACACTAAATATAAATCCAGTTATAACAAGAGGATGTGCTCCCCTCAACAAGTAGGCAAATCGTGAGGTGGTGGTAAAATTTTATTTTGAGGACTATTGCCATTTTTGACTAGGAATACCACAGTCATTCCCCATGTTTGGTGGCGCTCTATGTGACAATGCATCAACCACACACCTGCATCAACCATACAAATAATTAGATATGAATTTTTGAAATGTTAATGAAGATCATAAACAAAGTTATATATGAATTTTATGAAGATTTAGTATAATAAAAATGGATTGTTGACCTGGATTATCAGCTCTGAATCTGATTGCAACCCAACCATTCTTATGAACCCCAACTGTATTCTCCTCTGGGGGATCAACAAGGTTATAATTCAAAGGGTCTTTCTTGGGATTGAAGTTTCCAAAGCCCCAGCCAACAACATAAAAGTTATATCCATGCAAATGCACAGGATGGTTATCACTTGCTAGGACATTAGTTCCTTGCAAAACCAGCTCAACACTTGCATTGTACTCCAAAACCACCACCTTCGTGCCGTAGGAAGGCGTCAACAGGTTCTCAGGAAGATCTTCACCGGTATAATTAAATTCCTCTGGGGGTTTTTTGGGAAAATCTTTCTCGAAAACTCCTGGGATCTTATCGTAGTAAGCTCGAAGTATGTCGATGGATGGGGTGACAAAGCTTATGTTGTTCACACTGGCAGCAAATCTTTTACCAAAAGGACCAGTGCAAGGTTTGTTACTACAATTAAGGAGGTTTACTGAAATGGTGAAGAAGAGGTGGGTGTTTACATGTAATGGGACGTTGGTTGGGTGATCTTTTGTTGCAAGGCTCCTGATTCTATTGGTGAAGTCAGTTGATGCTTGTGTTCTATCATAAGGGGGCAGATGTGGAAATTTATAATGAGGGAATTCGGGAGGTTCATGGTATGAAGCTTGGTATTTGAGAATGGCCGTTGTCATGGTTTTGTCAAAACCAGCTCCAATGGCACTTGAATATGCTCTTGCAGCCATGAAATAGAAGCTTGGAGGTTGGTTTGCTTGTAATAAAACATCCATGGATTGGCCAGGAGCTATCATAATGTAAGAGGTCTCAATTTGTTTTGTGTAGGATCCGTCTCTTCCTACCAATATCATTTTGTGGTTTGCTATGCCGAAGAAAAGCTCTTCATCCATTACTGCGCTAATTATCCGAAGCAGATAGGTTTTTCCATGCTCCACTGTCATTTCGAAAATCCCTGCATGCATACATGTTACAATATAATGTTATCAATTAATACTTAACCCATGTAAACGTGTGTTAGGTTAGTTAGCCAAGATAGTGTGTTCGTCCACTTGCATATGAGTTCGAACCCCCTTCCCGTACATTAAAATAGTTTATAATATTGCCCTTGTGAAAAAAAATAAAAATAAAATTAAGACATATACATATATGTATTTGTAATTAAGTAGTTCAAATTTAATTGTTTTTTCTTTTTTAAGACTATCTATGTATATGGATTTCCTGATGAGTTTGGATATACCTGATTTGGAGCATGGATAGAGATGGCCTGGTTTCCCATTTATGGTATATGCATCTGACAATATAGGCTCTCCTCCTGTTATATTTGCATTTCTTGGTATCTCCATTACATTTTTCTTCCACCATTCACCTATACAACAAGAAGACTATTAGGGTTACTGAAGAAAGCCTTGATGCTTTGAAAAATATTTAAAAAATTCCTTTAAAATAAGCCTATCTAGCATAAAAAAAAAAAGAGGTTGATTTGGATAGAAAAAGAATTTGGCAAATAAGCTATAGTTTTTTTTTGGAAAAGTCATAAAAATACATAAATATAATGTATTTCAAATTACTACATACAATACAACGCAATATACATACTATGAATTCAATATCACTTGGTATATACAATGAATGATTTGAAGTTGATGGATTTCTTCTTCTATATATACATATTTCTTTCCAAGTAAACAATTTAAAGATGTAATCAAAATCTCCAGATTTGACATCCCCCTTTCCAAAAATGGAGCCAAATTAATAGCAGGCATATTATTGTCACAACTTTGAGGGTTTAATTGTAATTATCTTCGTACGTACCTAGTATGATTGGAACCTCTGCATAGGGTTTGGAGAAGGGATAGTGAGAACCAGGCTTTGGATAGACCAAAATGGCACCATGAACTGTTGCTCTTGCCCATCCACTGTGTGCATGCCACCACATTGTTCCTTCTTCTGTTGTAAACTCAATTTTGTAAGTGTACTTGTTTCCTGGCCTAATCGGGCACTGTGTAATATACTCGGGTCCATCTGACCAGGGATTTCTTGGTTGCTTAATTCCGTGCCTGCAAATTAAATGTACATTCTAATCAAATTGATCATCATAACATGTATATTTATATATTTTTGAATGCAAGCGATAGTCTAAAACTACAAAGAGAATGAGGATTGCTCACACACAGACACACTACAAAGTGTTATGGGGTTCAAAAACATAAGACCACCGGTCTACAAGTCAAGGCCAATTTGCACTGGGCTAGACCTCGTCGGCAAAACATGTATATTTATAAAATTGCTCAAGTAAGCCACGTACCAATGAAAAGTGATATTGTAGTTTGCCTTGTTATAGACCTTAATGATCATTTTATCTCCTCTATGAGCTTTCAAACTTGGCCCTGGAAATTGCCCATTCACAGTCAAGATGTCTTTAGTGCTACATAGTCGAGTATAAGAAGATGACTTCACCTGCAAAAGGGCGTGCAATTTACAAACATGATTGTAGAGAGAGAGAGAGAGAGAGAGAGAGAGAGAGTACACACCACAAAGTAATGGCGATGGGTTTTCCCATTTGCGGCATCAAAAATAAGAAAAAGTTGAAAAACAGAGAAAGCAAAATGCACTATGCCATTAGCCATAGTAGGGGACCAGACCAGAACTTTCAAAGGCCACTATGGTGCTTGAAATCTCAGATTGTTACCAGACTTCTTGTATTTCTACTCCCTTTCTTCTTCTTCGTGCTCTTTTCTTTTTTTCTATCTGGACTGTACCAATTAAGAACAATATCCTTCTACATGCCTCATTTCCTCCCCTTACGGATTTTAATCTTCAAAATTTACATCTTTCTTAAATAAGCTGATCTGGTTAAGAAAGTTGATGCAGCGAATACATTAAGAGGATTTCACTACTAAACCAAATTTAACATGACATAATATACAACAAAAGCCCATATAGAGCCTATTTGGAGTGAAAAATCCAAAACTAGCCATTTTTGTTATTTTCTAATTGATTCTTATTTTAACACATTAAGAACCAATTATAAAATGACATGTGTCTAGTGGCTAGTTTTGAGTTTTTCTCTCCAAATAGGTGCTACATATATGAGTTTTTGTATAATATATCATGCTAAAATGAGTTTTTGAATAAATATCAAAAAAAAAAAAAAAAAAAAAAAAAACAAAACTCTCTCTTTCCTTTGCGCTCTCCCTCTACCAATTTCTTCTCCCCCGCCCCATTCCCCATGACCACCACAACAAGCTCAACCCCAAAACCCATACCCGCGCCACTTTCCTAATATTAAAATCCTGTAATTATAATATATTAAAATTCCAATTAAATGCACATTTTATGGTTAGAGATGGCCTAAAGGGTTCGATAGTTCAACCGTTGTAATTACAATATATTAAAATCCCAATTAAATGCACATTTTATGGTTAGAGATGGCCTAAAGGGTTCGATAGTCTGACCGTAGTGATGTTAATTATCGTGACATCCATAAGTAGCTTATTACATCTTTATTCCATATCATATATGTCCGAGGATCCGCATAGCGTCAAATATTGAAGTATTTATGTGGTAGGCAATTTATTAGTACTTTTTATGTGTGAGTGAGTAATTGTTGTATTTTAAATAACGATTTGTGTTTAGTGAGCACGTAAGTCAGTTTCCCAAAAAGATTTCAAAATAAAAAATAAAAAATTGGTCTTTCTGTCGCCGTCCATCTCTCTGCTACTCCGTCTCTTTCATCTCTCCGGCTCCGTGTCTCTCAACCCTGCGACTCCGGCTCTCTTTCAGTCAAAGACTCGAACCCTAACCGCAGAGGCGCACACCATCAGTCCGGCGTCACACCATCCTCAGGCTCTCATCTCTGCGACTCTCTCTGTCTCTCTCTCCTCTGGCTCGCTACTTTGGGTAATTTTTCGTTTTCCTTCTTTTCCTTGTTAATTTTTTTTTGGTGATTCACTGTTCTTTCTCAAACTTTGCGTATTCAAATGGCATAGGATCATCTTGCTTAAGCTCTGTTTTTCCTTCTCCTTTATGTTCTCACTGAAAGATACTATATTCTTTTGCATAAACCGGAAAAAGTTGAAGTATGGACAAATTATATAAACCAATTGCATGCTTGTACTGTAAATTGCTTAATCTTTTCGTCCCTGCATATTCTTGATTGTATTGAATATAAATCTTAGCCATACATATTCTTTGCCAATTTCTGTATAAGCTGAAATTGAATTGAGTGATCAAATTTCTTAGCTGACACAAGTTCTTTTACAGGCTTTCATTGTGGAGATCTGGTGCCACAAAGTGCACTGTTCAAAGGGTTTTATAGAGAATTTACTCAGATAGAGAGAGGCATGGCTGATTCCAAACCTACAACTAGCATGAGATGCCATCATTGTGCTGGTCCTCTTTCTAAGGAGATGGAAACTAGCGGGTGGACCGTTCCACCTCTTATTAGGGATAGCTTTTCTATGGTATTGTTCTCTTCTTTTCTTATCTTACCAGCCGCATACATATATTGGGAAATTTAGTTGGTAAGTGAAATTTGGACTGATGATCTTGTGTGGTGATTGTGTCATGGTACAGATTGGCTCTGCGGTTGGTGGCACAGCAAGTGCTTTTTATGGATTCAACCATGGTAATCTATTTTTCGTCTTCTTTATTCAGTTTTATTAAGATTTTCTACTTTCATCCTATGGCGTTCTTGGTGTATGGTTATTACCGCTTGTTCTAAACTGTTATTTATGTCCTTTGGCATGATGACATTCTTAAATGCTTTGAGTTGTAGAATAGAGTTAGCTTTTTGGGCTCTTCTTAGGCTTCAGTGTCTAAGAATTTGTAGGCATCTGTCGTTTGTTCATTTTCTAAAATTTTTAGGGTGTTTATTTATTTTTTCCATAACATATGTGAAACATCTTCTCTTATCCCCCCAAGTGGAGTTTTGTAAATATATATATTTTCTCTTCTTACCTTGATGTTTGGCAGTGTTTTCTTTAATTATTCTGTAAGCACAAGATGGAGTCCTGGTCCTCCTTTCGTTACTTTTCTACTTTTCCTCTATTTTCAATAAAAATTTCTGCTATTTTTAATTTCTTTCTGAATTGTTTGATTGCATAGTAGCTCGTCATCTTATGGCCATTGTTTGTATTGTAATATGCATTCAGCTCTTCCAAAAACATTGAACAAAAGGGTGTAATATCCCTGTATAAATTTTAGTTAATATGAAGGTGTGTGATTGGTGCAACTGGACCCAAAACTTTGATTCATACTTCATCAATATTAGGGCCTAGATAATAATTGTGAAGTAATGCAAATGTCCATAATTATCTTGGAATTCTCCATTAAGTCACCACCACCAGTTCTGGGGTGTGATAGTTATGGCAATAGAGCGTAGGTGGTAGTCTACTTTGGAAAAAGTTTTCTTTGTTTGGTTGGGGTGCCTGTTTGACCCTGTTATTTGACAAGCTAGTTTGTTTTGAAGCCTCAAAATGTATGTAATTTTTGAGTGGTGATCCCAACTCAAGAACTAGTGTAATATGCAAATAAGATTTCTTATTGTAATGGTGTTATGTTATTTTGAATATGTACTTTAAATACATAAGGGAGCTGGATGTCACTATATGCTTGATTATGACATTGATATGATGTTTGTCTTGCTGGTGCTTTGATTGTGGGGGGATAAAAGGTCCATGATTGATATAAGGGTAGAACGGTTTGAGAACTGTTATTTATGTAGGTTGCATAGTTTTAGTGTGCCCAAAAGACAAACGGAACTTCGCCAGTGTTGTTTTACATAATTTCCTTAACTTATGCTAGGAATACATTAGAATTTAAGGGATTAATCCTGGAGTCAGGCTTCAATGGCAAGTTGCAAAACCCACCTCCAAATGTGAATTTTGGCACATAAACAAGGAGTGTACTATTGGTATTGTGTTGAGAGTGCATATTTGTATCACCTCTTGGTAGTTAAGATCTTCTCCCCTCCTGGAGGTGACATTTCTTCCCTTAGAGATGCTAAGTGCTACTATAGTAGATTTAAGGATAGAACCAAAATACCCATAGCAGTGTCTAACATTTGGACTTGAAATCAAATGCAATACTTGGTTGAAGCTAGTGTGCCTCAGGTAGTGGGTTAGTTGTGCTTGAAGGTATTTAGACAAGTAGATACCTAGTAATAGTGCAAGTTACAACTTATGTTTGCGGCTTCCCGTTTTCATATGACCAGTGGGCTTTTCACAAACTCAGGATGTGGGGTCTGACTGGACACTTAGTCCCTTTTATCCTAGTGTGGAATGTATATTCGCAAATTTTTCAAATTGCCTATCCCTGTATTCTGAGATGTGGTTAAGAAAGAATATGTTTGCAAAGACAGAGTGATACAGGGCAGCGGCTATTAGCGGTTGTCCAGCAGGTAGAATAGGACAAAATAATAGTTTAGACGGAACCCAGCGATAAACTGTACAGATAATAGGTGGACAAAGCAACAGAATATAAGTTGGAACGAATATGATTGAGTTCTAGGGCAAAGAGACCGAAAAGAAGCTCTATAATCTGTAATTTGTGAATAAAGTTGATAAAGACCCTTATTACAACTATTAACTAGGCTTATATAGCCATCAAACCCTAGCATAAAAGGGTAACTTGATTGAAAAGGAAAACTAAACCAAAGTCAGGAAAGTGAACCAAATCCTAATTGGAATAGGAAACTGAAAAGAAGTAACTGGAACCCTAGCCCATACATATTACTATTAGGGCTTAGAATATGTTTGCGAACTTTGTTCCATAAAAATGTGGGTTGTCTTTTCATGCTTATTTTATGCATGATTGGGGCACCTGAACCCATACATATTACTATTAGGGCCTAGAAAATAATTGTGAGACAGTGAAATGTGCATCTTATGGAATCCTCCACTTAGTCACCAATCCTGGTTTTCAGGCATGACAAAACGAATTTTATGATATGATATTCATTAAACATGGAAAAGCAGAGCTGAAGATGTTCTCTCCTAAAATATTTCCCTCCTTAGCTATGAAAAATGAATTTGCTTCAAGTATCTTAATCCCTTTTTACATTGCCATGGCGTGTACATGTCATAAGATGTTATTGACAATCAACAATATACATACATGTCTGTGTTTATGCTTTTGTTTTTGGTCGAATGACTGTGTTTATGCATACATGCATGCATTCTTGTGAACTTCTGTTTCTACCTTTCATGAGCCCAATGCAATTTTTGTTTTGAGGTATTGGCAGAAAGGTTTATGAAAATATTAATATCTAATTCTATCTTTGTTATTTTTTTCTTGGTGCAGTGATGCCTGTTGTTCGGAGATGGGTAAAAGGACCTATGTGGTTACATTTTTTCATTGGTGTAAGTTCTTCAATTCTTTTACTATTTTCAAAATACCCTGCTTCTTATCCCTAAGGATGAAAATGTCAGTATCAGTGTATTTTGATGGAGAAAATAAATTTTGAATTTGAACAAAACTCAGGATTGTAAAATGGTGGGTACTAATTTCCTTGTTTGGGTTCATAACATGGAAAGAAGCTTGACCTTTGGGACCAAGACTTATTCTGGTTTATATAAATACCGTATTGTAGTTATGAGATGGGATATTAATGTGAAAATGAAAATTTTACATTGTGTTAGTTGCGTTTCGTGCCAAATTTGCGGGCTGACTTAATATTATATGTGGAGTTAGGCTGTTGAACTCTTGACCAAAAAACAAAAGAGTTTGGCTGTTGAACGAGGAGGCCATCCCAAATGATGTGATGTACATGTAGCCCTGTATTGGTAATTCTGTACATGGTAGGCCAGAGTTATTTTCTGGTTATCTAGAAAAGTTCTGTTGAACTTTTGGTTGGTGGATTACTTGCCCCTGCTTGACATTGTACACTGTTGGCTTTTGCAATAAAATATTTGTTCCTTATAAAGAAAAAATTTGGGCTCTTAAATGTTTCAGGATTATATGTTTTTATTTATAGACATATTTCAAGATTATATTTCATTCGATTTGTTCTATTGATATCTTGGACATCTCTTTATATTCTAATATACTTGTTTAAAAAAATAAATGAAAACTTTTTTAATATTAAATTTGAGAAGTGTTTCCCATTTTAAAAACTGTTTTTGTTCGGTGGCAAACTCCTCCCATCGAATAGAGCTTCTCCAATTTGGAACTTTAAAAACATTTTTTTCTTTCTCATTTTCTAAAGGCAACACTTGTTTTCTGAAATAGAAAATAGTTTTGGTGTGTAACCAAATGGCCCACATATTACATTCTCGTTGTGTGACTGGTCTAGATATTTGATGAAACAAATAGCCAATGCATGACACATGATGAAAATTTAAACTGGTTGATAGGAAAAAAATTAAATTACACTATGCCTTGCCTATATTTGAACAGTTGGTTTTTCATGGGTTGCATTTTTGCAATTTATTTTGGTTACTCATCTGCATGTGTTTGTGTCTCTGCATATGTACACTTTTCAATCTATGTTCCTAAAACTTTAGAGGTTTTGGGTTGTTCCTGAACTTGCTTTGTTGCGTTATTTGTATGTGCTAAATTTTTCTTTTCTTACTTTTAAAAAGTTGTGAATGACGTAAGTCTTTCCTTTTGAAACTGTAGGCTCCTCCTGTGATTGTATTCTCTTCAGCTTGTGCAGGTTTGGCAGGTCAGTGATTGTTTTGTTATATTATCTAAGATCATCAATGTGGGCTATTTGATTAGCTTTTACCTACTTTTGCTAATGTCTAGTGATAGTAATTTTGTTGGAGAAATAAACTAATTAAAGTTAACTTAGTCAGGCTGTAAATTATAACAGATGAAAAATCCGAATTTTATATAATAAATTAAGTTAATTAGCATATAATTTAAGAAATAATAATAAGATGAAAAGAAAGAGTAAATGTGAATGATTGAACTGAAAATCTTGGGATACAAAAGACTGAGAATGATTAGATAAAATAGATTAAATGAACTGAGTATGACATTGTAGTGATAGCAATCGACACATGTTACTAGCTTTCATTGAACATGATAACCAAGTGAACAAGCTCAATCAAGTCTAAGTCATCTAAGTTACTTAACAGCCTAAGGTATGAGTTGTAGCTGAAATCCGAACCAACATGTGCTGATACCATTGATTGACAGTCTCTGACATGTTTTGCTCAATGAAATATGCCAAATCAAAATCCATAAACTTATGAAACACACTAAAATTTATGGAGCTTTATAATGGTGATCACAGCGTAGTTTCGAAATTAGTGCTTGTCGCTGGTGTGAACTTTGAGATGGAGCTTTCAGCTTTTAGATCCGTTTGTCGTCATTTTTGTATTCACTGTCTGGCACTACGCCAGGGCAACACTCGATGCGTGTAAAACTTGGATCTTGTTTTACAATTCTGCAAACCTCTAATAGAGCTGTTATTTAATGCCTTCTGGAAAATCAACAGGTGGGGCTGTTCCAGCCTTGGCCCAACTTGCTTCTTCCTCGTATCGTGCAGTGGCCTCATCGTCCTCGTTGCCTCCAACATCTGAAGACGAGAAGATTCACAAGTCCAGAACTTCCTCTACTCTGTAATGTACAACAGCTTTATGCAAGCAAGTGCACGTGAGGGAACCATCAAGGCCACCTGTGTAGTTGTCCATTTCATCGAGGTGGTTCATGTAAGTCCCGTCAGCTTCAGGCAGACACAAGTTTTGGTCATACAAAGTTATTATGCAAATAATTGTTGGGTAAATCTTTATGCTGTTAATTGAGCGAGTTCATAGTATGGTAAATACTTTGCTTTTGACTTATTTATCCTACTGCTTTATTTTTTGTGTACATGTAAATTTACTTGATGTGTTGCAAAGGAAAGTGCGCTAAGATCCAATATCTAATCAGACAATTGTTAGGCCAAGCAAGTATTTCTCGATTGTGGTTTATAATTGCTTAACTGGGCATGTAAACTAAATGAGTTAATAAAACTCCAATCCAACTCGATTTAACTATTTAAAGGGGTTGAACGTGTTTTGGCGATACTAAAGAGTACGACGCTCGAGTGATTTGGGGTGATAGTCTCGCGGTCCTTCTGACATACGCTGCTGTCACATGACTGGGTTTCGAGGTGTGAAAATTATTGCTATATTTTATAAAAAATGGATCGGCAAGTGCTTGAAAAATGAATTAGAAACATTTTTTCAATACGTAGGATCTGTGATAAAAAAAAGAAGAAGAAGAAGATAAATGTACATGAAAAATGGATTAGAAACATTGAAAATTGGTCGAGGCAAGTGCTCGACACTCTGTCCTTAAGATAATTTACGCCCCACTATGGTGCTCATGGTTGATCGGCACTTGTCTCCCAAAATACAATGACCACGTCTTTACGATTGTAGCACTCCAAATCATAAGACCCTAGCGAATCACGATTGTGTTGAATACTCTCTCATACAAAGATTCAAACTCTCTATTACTATGCAAGTGACTCACAAATGCTTTGAATGAATTGAAATTGAGGTTTCTGTCAACTATGAAAAGTTGAAGGTTCCAAGATTGTTGGTTGGTTGTCCAGTTGCTGGGATTTCATGGGGAGATTTAATGTAATGCCTTTTTGGTTGGAAGCAAATTCCCACATGTTCGTTGGAAGAAAATTCGCATATCTTTGTAATTTTATCAACGTCTTAAACATTTTCTCCAATTCATTAATATTGTTAACTAGTTGTATTACTTAATTCTATTATTTTGTAATTAAAACTAAACGTGCCAAAACTTGTAGAATATAATTGGTTTGTTGAGTAAAATTAAAAACCTAAAACCTCCTTAGACCAAATCAAACGTGACTCCAAGTACTACTGCCCATTCGTCCAAAAAAAAGTTCTACGTTCTATATAAAAGAACACTCCAAGACTCAATTCTCTTTGCCTTTGCCTGTATTTGACGAAACTAACAACGATGGCGTTTGGGAGGAGAATGGATGAATGAGAGGAGTGGGAGACAAAATGAAAAAGAGAGAAAAATAGACTATGATGTGTTCAGTTTAAATCCCTTATATTAAATTTTAATGAGGTGGTATGTGTAGGACGAAAGTCAAGCTGATCACTACAGAAAAAATCATAGTAGAGAATCCGGATCCCAAATAAAATCACTCTAGTCTCATCTAAATTTAAAAAATTTAAAAAATTCCAATGTAAAATAATAATAAAACTAGAATTATTTTAAAAAATTAAAAAGAAACAACCTCAACACCTCGCCTTAGCAAAAGAAAAGAAATAAAAAAAAAAACAAAAAAAAAAAAAAAGAAAAAAAAAACAAAAAACAAAAACAACCTCCTTCCCAGTACGTCCCCCACCTTCTTTTCCCTGTCTCTCCAAAACCCACCCAAATCACATATCCTCTGTTTTTCTCTCTCCTTCTCTCATCTTTTTTTTTTGGTTCTCTCCGTTTCTCTATCTCCCTCCCAACTTCTCTGGTTCCCACTCCTCTCACTAGTTCTCTATTCTTGGCTCTCTCTCTCTATTTTCCCCTTCAGAGTCGCAGATCTTCATCTCCTTCAATTGGGTTCGACTGTGTTTGATGTGGAGGTTCTATTTGGTTTGACAGTGGTGGTTCAATTGGGTTTGACGTGGTGGTTCAATTGGGTGGTGGGTGTGGTGGTTGGTGATAGTGGAATAGGTTGGGCAATGGCTGCTATAAATTTATAATCTAATTTCAAGATTTTGAATTTCTTTAGGGTTATTGCAGAGCTGTTACAACATGGGCCATGATTCAGATGGTGGTTCCCAAGATGGAAGGGATGAAGGTAAGTTGGATGTTTAACTCAAAATGCATTTTTTTGCTCGCTCTTTGTTATGTTAAAAAAGGTTGAAATCAGAGTTGTAAGGAATAAAAAATTGCCTTGGACTAGAGCAGGGGGGTAACGACTTACTGGTACTGGCTGTTGATCCTAGGGAATTTTTTTTTCTCATTCCAAGTTCTAAGTTTTTCTTAGTTGTGTTTCGGTTCTTTTTAGCTACACGGTCGTTGGTGCCTTTTATTGATTCATTCAGTAAATTATTATTTCCTTTCGAGTTATACAACTTTGTGTGCTATGTATATTGCTGGTACATTGAATTGCGTGGTGTGGTGTTTCCTTCTAATGAGAAAGGTTAACTACTCTCTCCATGCTTGCTTCAATGATAGCACTTTGAGTGCACACACAATTACAAATATTAACAAAGTTATAGTTATATATTCCAATTCTCCCCTCTCAAGCTGATGCACCAAACTTGTCTATGAGTAAATGGAAGAAAGAGCTAGACACCCCCCTTTGTAAAGATATTGGCAAGTTTTCCTGCCTTTTATTTGGATATCTCAATTTTTCCTTGTCTGTAATGTTGTGAATTTATAAAATACACAGTTGCAATTTTAATTTTTTTGACCTTTGTAGTTCAAGTCTTATTTGCTATTGCTTATAGTTTTGCATAGCAAGTGTGATCTCAAATTTTTTTGTTTTCGTAGATGATGAGGAAGAATATGAGGAGGCTGGCAGGGGTAGTCGATTTCTTGGATTTATGTTTGGCAATGTCAATGACTCTGGTGGTCTTGATGCCGATTACCTTGATGAGGTAACCTTACTCCCCCCCCCTCTCATTTAATTTTGGGTTTAACTGTGGTGAAACAAACAAATAAGTAACAAGAAGTACTTGCTTACAATTATTGAAGCTTGAAATAGATTTGACAAGTTATGGATGGCCATAGAAATGCATGTGCGATGAGTCCACCTACTTGGAATTGTTAGGGAATTCCAAATCTAAGCTCCTGTGGGCCGTGCCTAAGAACAAAATAGATCATAGACAAAATGAACACCAATTTACATGGTTCACCCCAAGTTGGGCCACATCCACGGGCCATAATTATCCAAATAAATCATCCAAAGGGAGCATAAAAGAAGATAACAACAAAGAACGTTTTGGGTCTCCCTCACACAGGATAATCTCTCTTTTCCCATGGAAGCACTCAATAGAGAAACTTAAACACACCCTTTCTCACCCCACAAACCTAAACCCTAAACCAAACAGACCCTAAAAGGCTCTAATTGTAACTATAAATACCCCATAAGACTGAGGCTAACCTGGGAAGAACAAGGACAAAAAAGGGCTCAAAATCATAACTTAAACTATGAAACAGTTTGGGCTGCTGGAGCAGAAATTTCTGCATATCATTCTGCTCTAACTATCTTGTTCTGCTTGAATGGGATTGAATTTTCTCTAGAGGTAGTACACAGCGGCCATTCGGCCACCCCAACTGAACAAGACACATTTTTAATGGAAATCTAATGTTTTGTTCTAAGGCTATAAGCCTTTCATTTTATTGGGGTCATGTAAGAGAGAATCCGAGTATCTTGAAAGAAACTAATTCATTCTTTTAGACCTCTTAGTCTTCCCAAATTCCCTAATATACACATACCTATTTGAATGTCTATAAGTTTTGACTGACAGTCCAAGAAAAACAAACACAAATATTGTAACATTTGTATAATCAAATGTATTACCAAATAATATATCACAGCACTTCAGATACTGCTTGTTCTACAAGAAAAGCATGAACAAGAAACTAAATTTCTGGCATGTCTTCTAAAGCTGACATGCAAGCAGCCGTTGCCATGAAATTGAAATATATTTTAAGATTTCTTGGTCCACTGCAAATTATTAATTCTGGGACATTTAACAATTTGCATCATTGTCTACCTGTTGAAGAGCACTCGCCCTCATGTTTTGAAGTGTTTAAACTCGACTCTATTTCTTTCATTTTGAGCTTGCAATAATGTTTTAATAATGATCTTGCTTCCTCTCTCTCATATTATCATTATTATTTATTCTTCCATATATATATATTTAAAATTTTGGGTTTGTCAGCAATAATCATCCATTTAGATATTCATGAGTGTTCTCATTTTTTGCATTTACACTTTTAAATTGAATTCTAGTTTAGTGATGTAATCTTGATGCTGAAACCACAGGATGCAAAGGAACACCTCGCTGCACTTGCTGACAAGCTGGGTCCGTCTATAACAGGCATAGATGTATGGATTTCTCTTCCATTTCTTTAGGTCTTTTGCTCTATTTGGTAGTCATAAATATTATCTTGGGGCCCCATTGTCATGGATTTCTTATTATATTTAAGAGAGTTATAATTGCTTTTTTGCTTTTTTGGCACTTGCTTTTTTAATTTTTTTTTTAAAATTTTATTTTATTTTATGGAACTCTCTTATTCCTTTACTTGTGCTTTCTCCTACCCTTCTTTTTAACTCTCTTCCCTGATACGTAAATTTTTTGTTTGATTTTTAGCTGTCAGTAAAATCACCACAAACATCAACTGATGCTGTTGAAGAAGGTGAATATTGTGAGCCTTGAAAAACGATCTCATGCAATTTTTTGATGTTTTGCTAGTGACTCCTCCCCTCCCGCTTCCCCCGGTCCCAATTCATATCTATTTGTTATATTTGTATTACAATTTCTTTTATTGGCAATCAAGCAATATCATTTTAAGAACAAAGGAATCTAGCGAATGCACTATGACCACTCTTTCTAGATTTATTTGTGACTGCACTATGATTACTCTCTCTCAATTTATTTTGCTAATGCACTATATTTACACCCTCTCAATTCATTTGTGAATACACTATGATGCTTTTTGTATATTTTATTTAGTTTTTAGGTGATAATTCTGATTTTCCTTCTTCCAATTTTGTACCACCCAGAAAACCTTGGATGTGATTTCACGATTACAACCATTACTTCAGTCTTATTTAATTTGTCGTTTTAGCACTTTATGCATATGAAATATTTAATTCCTGGCATTCTAGGTTATACCCTTGATCTTCTAATTTGCTCCTTGAGTGGCCATTTGCCTCTCGTGGAAGATGGATTCTGTGCTAAGGGGCATAAAAATGTTGCAGCAAATGCGATAAATTTGTTTCTAGTGTGTTGCTGAGATCTTTAACCTCAGATAAATTTTTGTGATACCTGTTCTTTAAGGCTGTACATTGTACAATTTGACTTCTCTACTGGGTGAAGCTATGGTGATTCTAATATTCTGTGTGTTGTATTTGACCTTAGCCAGTCTGTCTGTCAGTCTCACGCTCTCATTCTCTAATAAATGAGGTGGAAATAAAAAATAAGTTCATCGTTCACATTTTTATTTTGTGAGTATGCACTCATTGTGTTCTCTTATGACAGATTATGATGAGAAGGCTGAAAATGCAGTGAATTATTTTGACATTGATGAGGATTTTGAGGGACCTGAGATTCAAGCTGCTACTGAGGAGGACCATTTGTTGCCCAGAAAGGATTATCTTTCTGCTCAAGTTTCATTGGCTACTTTGGAGCTCACACATTCTGTGTTTGATGATGAAGATTACGATGAAGAAATTGAACAGGAAGTGGAACATGAGGTGGTTGAAAAAAACGTTGATGTTGAAACTATCTCTTTACCAGGTGTTCTCTCAGTTAAAGTTTTCTGTTAGTTGCTAACTTTTACACCATGCATTCATCAGTGTTTACCTAGATCACATATATCGAATTTGCTCATAGTTGTGGATGGAAAAGATACATCTTAAATGTAGTTGTATAATTTGATAGGTTGTCTTGCAGGGGATTCTAAAGGAGAAAAATATTCTGAGGATGATTATCAAATTGGCGGTTTGGACTCTGAAAATTTGGATGCTCATGTAGAAGAGTTTCAGGTCTGTTCGTGATAATATGCATAAAAAGTTGCATATCAATTCTTGCTCTCAGATATTATTTATTCTGACATGTTACTTGTAAAGAAAGAATTGTTTTCATTGTCACGTATGTTCATTCTGTTTCCTACCACGAAAAACATTTTCTCTGACAAGTCGGGGACATGATCGTGGATACAATTATATTGTTTCCTAAGCAATGCGTACTAGACTACATTTGTAATTTGTCATATGTCTATATTTGTTCTCTAATTTCTTTTGAGATGCTATACCTGATGTAAGGAGACAGCTCATTTGTGAATGCAAGTGATTTCTTTGTCATCTAGTTGAGGGAACACGTATTGCTGCTCGTTCTTTGACTGAATTGCATCTTGACAGTGCTTCTCACTATTCTATTAGTCTTCATTGATGTTTACATCTCTCTTGGCCATTACAGGAAGCGCTTTCAGATAAAAGTGCCACGCCGCTGCCAGTTCTATGCATAGAAGATGGATTGGTGATCTTAAGATTCTCGGAAATCTTTGGTATTCATGTGCCCTTGAAGAAGGCAGAGAAAAGAGAACATAGATACTCTGTTCCTAAAGGTATGTTGCATATATATGGAATCCTCCTTGATGCCTCCAAGGATAAAATTGCTAGGAAAGAAATTACATATCTTAATGGCAGCAAACTACTGTCTCAAAGCATATGTTACGTTAAAAATTATGTTTACATTTTTTTTTTCTTATTGGTCAAATTTTAGTTGCATTTAGGTTATCTTCCCGTTAGACAGGTCTTCTAGTTTTGGTTTGTATCTTATTGCTTCATCTAGTTTTATTTTTAGTACTGTTTACAGAATTAAACCAACATCCTTTCAGATAGGTACAAATCCATGGATGTTTCGGATATCATTGAAGAGGATGAAGAGGCATTCTTAAAAGGATCTAGTCACGGATTGCAATCTTTGAAACAGGCAGATGCAATGAAATATGACATCTCAGCACTCAATGACACTGACTCGGAAAATGCAAAGTTTGGTGTTCTAAAAGCGGCTAATTCAGTCGCTCTGCTGGATGACGGGCCAATAAAGGACTCCTGTCTCAATGCAGAACCATCGAAAGAGGATCTAATTTATGATATTTCTGTGGGAAGGCAGTCACCTTTGTGTTCAAAATTTTATCCTCTTGATCAACTAGACTGGGAAGAAGGAATTGTTTGGGGCAATTCTCCTGTAGCAAGTGACAATTCTGATGAGAGTTGTGAAATTTCGGGACCTGATGAAGTTTCAATTAATAGTGAAACAGAACCTGATAGTGGGTCACAAAATATTCTGTTAGAGCCCCCAAAAGAACCTGATGAGAAGGATCATGCTGTTGTGCTGCATAGCTCATGTAGTCTATTGGAGCCTTTTGGCTCAAGAAATTCATCAGAACTTTTATGTCTTCCTGTCTCAGAAAGCAGATGCCATCCCCAACTTTTAAGGCTAGAATCTCGATTTGAAGTGGATGACCATACAGATGGTACAATGGAGAGTGTCGGTGAGAAGCTTCATCAGAGCGATGCTGTGAGGGAATTTAGCAAACTCACTTCACAGAATAGAGACATGCTAAAAGGATCCTGGTTAGACCAGATAATTTGGGACCCAGATATGCCTACTGGAAAGCCAAAACTTATCCTTGATCTTCAAGATGAGCAAATGCTTTTTGAGATTTTGGATAACAAGGAAAGTGAACATCTTAGGCTTCATTCAGGGGCCATGATTGTGACTCGCCCGGTAAACTTGAGCAATGGGGATTCTTTTGAGCTGCCAGGTCATGGAGGTCAATTTGGTTGGCGATATGTTGCTAATGATAAACACTATTCAAATAGGAAAACTTCTCAGCAACTGAAATCAAATTCTAAAAGACGCACAGTGCAGGGCATAAAGATTTATCACTCACAACCTGCCCTGATGTTACAGACAATGAAACTGAGGTTAAGCAAGTAAGATGGATTGTTATATATTCCCTAATTTTTCTTTATTTGTTCTGATACTGCTGCATGCATTCTTTATTTTGTTTGAATGTTGTGTTTTACTTTATCAGTATGTCATGGTTTATAGTCACTTGGCTCAACTCTGTTTCAAAAACAGTGCTTATCTGCACATGTACTGTTAACTATACTGGGTCATGCATAGGAAAGAAATATGAATCACACCTAAACTGTAATTTCGTTTTGTTATATGATAATAGAGTAAGTCTTGCAAGGTTTTTGAGATTTTGAATTGATCATTGAGTTTAGGTAATTTTTTTTTGGTCGAAGAGTTTATGTAGTTTTTTTTGGGGTCAAAGAGTTTAGGTAGTTTTGCTTATTGTTTCAGCAGAATCTTTCTTGTACTTGCGCATGATAGATATCCCATTGACCATGGGTTTCAAGGTGATTTTATTTGTTAAACTTGTGTTGTAAATCTTCTATGCCACTCCATCTGACTTCTACTTTTGCATGTTATGCTGCCTAATTTTGTAACTCAAAAAAATAACTTTTTTGCAGTAAGTGTGTGGCTAATTTTCACCGACCAAAATCTTTATGGTATCCCCATGACAATGAAGTGGCTGTAAAAGAACGAGGGAAGCTCCCCACTCAAGGACCAATGAAAATTATCATAAAGAGCTTGGGTGGGAAAGGAAGTAAGCTTCATGTGGATGCTGAGGAAACAGTGTCTTCTGTTAAATCAAAAGCTTCAAAAAAGCTAGGTTGACCCCTCTCATTTTAATGTGTTTGTCTTGTGTATTTATGTTTAAGTTTTTTAATTGATGAATTCTTTTGAAGTATGTAGAGAAGTTTAAAAGCTGACTCAGTATTCTTGATTTTGTAGATTTTAAGCCATCCGAAACTGTGAAGTTGTTTTATTTAGGGAAGGAACTTGAAGATGATAAATCTCTTGCAGCCCAGAATGTTCAACCAAATTCTTTGCTTCATCTTGTTCGTACAAAAATATACTTGTTGCCAAAGGCACAAAAGATTCCTGGTGAGAATAAATCTTTGCGGCCTCCTGGAGCATTTAAGAAGAAATCTGACCTTTCTGTGAAAGATGGTCATGTGTTTCTAATGGAGTAAGCAACTTCAAAGACCTGTTTTAAACCTTTTATGTTGTTCCCCTTTCCCCTGTATGAGTTGGTTTGCTTGATGGTTATTGTGCTATTCTTCCGATGCTGTTCTTATTGTGATCGCCTTCATTGTTTTGTATGACAGTAGGTGTCAGATAGATGCTTCGCTTTGTATCTTGCAATTGAATTGTTTGTTCTTCGGACAACTTATCAATCTTAAAAGTATGAAATGATGTCTTTCATTGCTTTATTTTATGGAATCTTAGGACAACTTATCAATCTTAAGAGTATGAAGGATCATTAAAGAAGTTTTCTTGATTTCTACGACTACAAGGTTTATGATATTCCAAGCACCAAAAGTTGTGCTGAAATCTTATGTTGACATCAATTTCTAGGGACTAGTAAGGGCAGTGAAATGAATTTATTGCTATGATGATGTACTGGGAAAGAGTGAGGAGGTTCTGGGCAGCTCAGTGGGCATTGGTTTTGGTTGATTTTAGGGATATTCTCATTCTTTTTTTAATTAGATTTTAAATTTAAGTAGTTGAGTTTTTTAGAGTTTTACTAACTTCTCCTCCCCCCTTTTTTTTTTTTTTTTTTTTTTTTTTTTTTTTTTTGGTTGGTTGTATTTTTTCTGTTTTCTCTTCGGATTTTGGATTCCTTATCCACTCTTTGTAATTAGATTTTCTACTTTAGTATATGTCTGTTGCTTTTCAAAAAAATAAAAAAAAAAAAGAAGTATTGTTCCTTGGTTTTTTCTTTTTGGCCAATCTTTTTTTTTTTTTTTTTTTTTTTTCTGTACAGATATGGAGGTGACCATACCAAACTAATTTGATTTATTTTCTTTGCAGGTACTGTGAGGAAAGACCTTTACTTTTGAGCAACGCTGGTATGGGTGCAAGATTGTGCACTTATTATCAAAAATCAGCCCCAGATGATCAAACTGGTTCTTTGTTACGCAGTGACAGCAACAGTTTGGGACATGTCATCTCACTAAATCCTGCTGATAAATCACCTTTTCTTGGAGATACAAAAGCTGGTTGCAGTCAGTCATCGCTTGAAACAAACATGTATAGAGCTCCTGTATTTTCTCATAAGGTGCCATCAACTGATTATTTGTTGGTTCGTTCTGCAAAGGGAAAGCTTTCAATTAGACGCATTGACAAACTTAATGTTGTTGGCCAACAGGTTTGTAATAGTAATACCCTTCATTGCATAATCCTCCAATATTTTTATTTTGTTCTCTTGGGTTTCAGAAGCTTTTTTTTTTGTCCCTCCTGTTGGTGATTTACGGGCAACTGATGCAAGTTGTTGGTGCTTGGCTTTACTCATGTCCTTGTTTGATTATAAAAAAAGTGATTTTCTTGTATGCATTTTAGTACTTTGTTGCATTTTCATAGTTCTGACGTAACACATATTACATAATAATTCAAACAGAACATAAATGTAACATTTACTTGTTTTTGGATGAGCTGTTAAGCCAGTGTGGGTTCTCAATGTCTGAGCCATTGGGAAATGCGTCCTTGAATATATATCAAGCTCACAACCCAACAATCCATACAACAATCTCCCTCATGTCTAGGTGTGCTCAATAGATGAGTCAAATACAGCCCATAGGGGAGGGAGTGGAGAAGTGTAACTGAAGGAGATGACATTTTCTGCCTTCCATTCAAATTCTATGTGAAATTGATGTTTGTGGGTTTAGCGGAAAACGTGACGCCACCATAAAGTGAAAGCTTTTCGTTTGTCTGAGTGTTTTAGTATATATCCTGGATTTTGTAATACGATTCTCTAGGTCGATATCTGTTACTTGGTTCCATTGTGGTTTTATTTTGTTTGTTTGCTTTTCCATATTGGAATATTAGTAGATTACTTGTGTCTAAATTGTGCGCTGCCAGTCAATAACAATTTCAGTAGATCTATGTGTATTAAGAGACAATCTTTCCAGAACATATATTGTTGAATCTGAGTTGTTCTCCTACTATTGTTTGCAGGAACCTCTCATGGAGGTAATGTCTCCTGGAACTAAGAATCTTCAAACTTATATGATTAACAGGCTCTTAGTCTACATGTGCCGAGAGTTCCGTGCTGCCGAAAAGCGCCATTTTCTTCCTTGTATCCGCGCAGATGAGCTACCTTCACAATTTCCTTATCTATCTGAAGCCTTTCTTCGGAAGAAGCTGAAGGAACATGCAAATTTGCAGGCACTTTCTTTTTGCTCAGTTCTCTTTTGATATATTATTATTATTTTCTTGTTTACTGTTCTTTACTCAACTTATCATTCTGAATGGATATGCAACATTTCCAGAGGGGATCAAATGGACAATGGATGTGGGTTAAGAAACGCAACTTCCGAATTTTCTCAGAGGATGAATTAAGAAATATGGTGAAGCCAGAAGAGGTGAGTTACACTTCAAATCTTTTGTTTTTCTGCTTTTATTAAGTTAAATCGATCGAACATTCTTGTTTGTGGATGCTTCGTAGAAATCCGTCGTTATTCCTAATGTTGTCCCCTAATAATTGAATTCTTCTAATGATTGTTCTTCACCAAAATCTAATCTCATCTAAATGCATATGCTTTGGCAGCCAAAGTTTGGCTTAAAAAACGTTCAAAGTGTGATTAATTCTTGAATTTCTGATGGACACTTAGTTGAATAGCATGAAGCATTTGTTTCATCATGTTAGCACACAGTCATTCAGGCACATTGAATACTTGTATACAGTTTAGAAATGGCTTGAAGGAATCAACTTATCTAGTTTATCCTTTATACTTTGTCTTGCAATTTTAGAAATGGATTGCAATAAGTTATTAATTTGACGCCTCAACTCAGCAGGTTAAATAGTAGTTATGACCAAAGAGATATGATGCTCATGCATCTTTTTTGTTCTTAACATTTTGCTGTATAGGTATGTGCCTATGAAAGCATGCAAGCTGGTCTTTACCGGCTCAAACATTTGGGAATTACTGAAACACATCCCTCTGCCATATCATCTGCAATGAGTCGTCTCCCTGATGACGCAATTACTCTGGCTGCTGCATCACACATTGAAAGGGAACTGCAGATTACTCCATGGAACTTGAGTAGCAATTTTGTAGCATGTACACAGGTAAACATATATCTTTGACTCTTATGATTTCTTTTTTTCATCAAGTGCACTTTTACTTGTGATCCTGTTTTTGAGATTTGCATCATATTCTCATGGCTAATTTACCGGAAAAGGTAATTAGTCTAGCAACCTCTTTTCCATTTATTTGTTTGTTTACACGATCTTCTTTGTTGTTTTTAAGGGAAAAGAAAATATTGAGCGTTTGGAAATATCTGGTGTTGGTGATCCATCTGGCCGGGGCCTAGGTTTTAGTTATGTTCGTGCTGCACCAAAAGCATCTATGTCAAGTGCAGTGGTGAAAAAAAAATCTGCTGCTACTCGAGGAGGTTCCACTGTTACCGGAACAGATGCTGATCTACGCAGATTAAGCATGGAGGCTGCACGAGAGGTGCATTAATGCTGCCCTAAATCTCATTGAACGGTCAAGAAAAAAAACGTTATTTAAGAATCTTAATTTATATTTCTAGCTTCCCTTATGGGCATCTCTACCTTTTTGTTTAATTAAATCTTGGCTATCCTTGTTAACATGTAGGACAGAAATAAGTATATTTTATGTGACTTTAAAAAGATATCCTGGCGTGCATGAGAAATTGCTAGTAGGTCTATGCCCTCATAACATAAAATTATCTTCCATTGTACAATAAGGTGTTTTAGCATCTCTGTTTCCTTTCGGAAATGTTGTGGGATATATAGATGTATTTATTGTTTTATGTTGACTTTAATTGTGTTCTTATTCCCAGGTTCTTCTTAAATTCGGTGTTTCTGATGAACTGATTGCGAGGCAGACTAGATGGCATCGGATTGCAATGATACGCAAGCTTTCAAGTGAGCAAGCTGCATCTGGGGTAAAAGTTGATGCAAACACTATCAGTAAATATGCACGTGGCCAGCGTATGTCCTTCCTCCAGCTACAGCAGCAGAACCGGGAGAAGTGTCAAGAAATTTGGGATCGGCAAGTTCAGAGTCTTTCAGCTCTAGATGGGGAAGAAAATGAGAGCGACTCTGAAGGAAATAATAGCGATCTGGATTCCTTTGCTGGGGATTTAGAAAATTTGCTTGATGCAGAAGAATGTGAAGAAGTGCTAGGAGGTGATCATGAATCCAATCATGAAAAATTGGATGGTGTTAAAGGGCTTAAAATGAGAAGGCGCCCTTCCTTGGCTCAGGCAGAAGAGGAGATTGAAGATGAAGCAGCAGAAGCAGCAGAGTTGTGCAGGTTGCTTATGGATGGTAAGGATATTTACGTTGCTTTTGTTTAGTTAAGTTTGTGCTATGCAGAAAATATTAGATTGAGTATTCCTACTTCCAATGTAGGTTCTGTTAAATGGATTGGTTGTGCCTATCAATATTTAGGTGACTTTTGTTTTGTTTTGTTATTTGGGAATAGACCTGCTGATATTGGTTATTGCTCAATTTCTAATGTGCTCATGTGAGAATTTGAATTCTATCTGGTGAATGTCATTGTGTTCCTATTTGTGATATGTGGTTGACCATGACAGCTGTTACACAGATGAAACTGAGAGGAGGAAGAAGAAGAAAACAAGAGTTTCTGGGGAGGAGCTGGGGTTGGCTCCTGGGTCGCGAACAAATTATGGCTTCGAAAATGCAGATAGGGCAAAGAAAATAATTGGTGCAGCACAACCTGATGAATCCTATACTTCAAAAGATAATCCAGTTGGAGATGTAAAACTGGTAAGAATGAATCACCATTTCGTCATGTTTAGTATTGATTGATTGATTTATTTTATCTTTTAATCAAGCTCTTCTTGTTTAAACATGTACGTCATGTCTGATCATGAAGATATTCTTTCCCTATACATGTAGGTTGAACTGTGTGTAATGTTTTTGTTTTGGTTGCAGGTGGAAAATCCTCTTAAAAGAAAAAAGGCCGGAACACTTAAAGGAATGAAAAATAATGATATCACACATACTGGTCTGATGAATAAGAAACTGAAGATATCAGGAGATGGTGGCAAGGCAAGTGAGCTTGTTATAAAACTGCTGGTTCCTTTTCTTTTCTTTCTTTGTGCTTTGTGCTTATTTCTTCTTTGCATTTCTTTAATACTTAAGTTGCTACCGACTTACTGCATTTCCTTTTTTCTTTTGACCACACATACTTTTTGTTTCTGCTTACTTTTTGTTTCTTTCTGATTTTATACTTTAATTCATGTATACAAGGAAACTGCCTGCACTGGGAAAGTATGATTGTATTTAAAAAACCTTGTATGTTTTTGTTTGTAACATTCCTTCTTGGATATACACTTGTGCATTTTCTTCCATTTGATAACCAATACAAGACAGTCTGGATGCATTTTGGAGGTGGTAATGTGTAATACTGTTATTCTTATTTGTTGTACATTCCCATCAACTTTACTGTGTGCTAATGATTCTCGGATCTGTGGAATGTCTCATTTATTTGTATTTTTCCCCCTCTTAGAAATCGTTCTTAATTTGACTACCTCTTTGAATTCAGACATACAAGGAGAAGAAATCAGCACGAGAGAAATTTATATGTGGAGCATGTCATCAGGTATATAACTCAGATAAGTTTAGTTTAGAGTTTTGGTAATATTCTGCTAAATAGTGTGACTAATAATTTAATACTGATTGTTTACCTTTTTGATGGCCTAGGCTGGACACATGAGAACAAACAAGAACTGCCCCAAGTATGGTGAAGATCAGGAAACACACAGCGACACTCCAGATTTGGATAAAGCAGATGGAAAGATAACTGCTCTGAATCCATCTAATCAGGCTCAGCAGAAAACTACGACAAAGAAGCTGGTACCTAAAAGTGCAACTAAAATTGCCGTGGTTGAAACTTCTGATGTTGACATTGGTCTGAGTACAAAGGTTCTTCCATTGAAATTCAAATGTGGGTCAACTGAAAAGCTTCCTGATAAACAGGCTCTTGGAGAGACAGAGAGCTCTGAACGTCCGGTGGCATCTGATCCGGAAACTGGGAAGCCCACTTTTAAGGTGAACAAGATAATAATATCGAACAAGATGAAACCTGAAAATGCACCTGTTGAATCTCAGAAGCCACCTATTGTGATACGGCCTCCCACAGATACAGATAAGGGCCATGTCGAATCACAAAAGCCAACTATTGTTATACGGCCACCAGCAAATACAGATAGAGACCAGGTGGAATCTCAAAAGCCCTTAATTGCTAAACGACCATCAATTGAGGCACAGAGAGAGCAACATCATAAGAAAATTATAATTAAACGTCCAAAAGAAATTATTGATATAGATCAGGTCAGTCAGGATGGGAGTACTCCTGTTGAACATAGGAAAACTAAAAGAATTGTTGAATTGACAAGTTCTGAAAAGAACAGGAAGGAAGAGAACATGTATTTGGCTAAGGAAGCTGCAAAAAAGAAAGCTAGAGATGATAAGAGATCAAGGGAGGAGCAAGAGAAACGGAGAAATGAAGAGAGATTGAAAGAAGAGAGGGCCAGGAGGCTTTACGAAGAGGAAATGAGAATGATAGAGGAGCAAGAAAGACTAGCAGAGATTAGAAGATATGAAGCAGTCATCAGACAAGAGAGGGAAGAAGAAGAACGCCAGAAAGCGAAGAAGAACAAACAGAAGAAGAAAAGGCCTGAGATAAGAGAGGATTATATAGAGGACTCACGAGCAAGAAGACTTGACAAAAGGATGCAAGAAAGAGATCGGGGTGCAAAAAGGAGGCCAGTTGTTGAATTGGGAAGGTATGGTGGAGAATCTGCCCCAATAACAAAGCGTCGTAGAGGGGGAGAGGTAATATGTTCATGCTTATCTTCAAGTTATTTTCATTCATTCAGATTTTCCCTGCACATGCCACCTTTATTACAACTGGTGGCAGATTCATTCTACAATATGTAGTAGTTCACTGCCTACACCAGGATAAAATTTAGGAATTGATCGGTCGAAATGGACAATCCCAGTCTACCCACTACGAATTGCAACTGTTCTTTTAGAATTATTAATTGTTTTCCAGTGGGTTCACACTGACTTTTAATCAAAATTTATTTGGTAGAGTTTTGTTTGTGGTGTGACTTAGTATTTCTCTGTACTTATAAAACAGCAAACAATATTCATCTCAAATAAAACAGTAAAAAGAGGGGAAGCAATTACGAATCACTTTTTGGGGGAGTTTATTTATGTAGTTTTTATGGGTTGTTGGTGAGAAATCCTGTTAAATTTATGTGCTAAGACAAACATCCTTTTTTCTTTCCCGTATCTTTCTTGGAGTTGATTTATTTAACTGGTCTCAATACTGCATTTTAGTGATGTTCAGTAATTGTTTAGTGAATACCTGCTAACCCAGAATAGGAATGGGATGAGGTAATGCTTGTTCTAATACGTAAGAAAATAAAACAAAATGCGAAAGAGAAGGGCCCATTACGTAAATTAAACAAAACGCGGAAGAGAAGGGCCCATTGTTCTTTTCTGAAATTGTGCAAGCTAAACTCCCATACACCAAGCAATGAATTAATGCACAGCCAAAGGTGCCAATGACTTTTGTAAGTTCTTTGTTGTAAGAAATTAGTGTGTCATTATCAATTGATTGCAATGTTCACAGATGGTATACAAATATTCACATCGACCTCCAAGAGGCTTGTATAATAACAAATATCCTATGTAATACTGTACAGAACATTCTTATTTATCTTCGTACTTTTTCTACAGGTTGGTCTGGCAAACATCTTGGAGCGTATTATAGAAACCCTCAAAGATCGAATTGAAGTATCGTATCTTTTTCTTAAACCAGTATCCAAAAAGGAAGCTCCTGATTACCTGGACATCATAGAGCGCCCCATGGATCTGTCTACAATCAGGGAGAAGGTGAGGAAAATGGAGTACAAGAGTAGGGAGCAATTCAGGCACGATGTGTGGCAGATAACTTATAATGCTCACAAATATAATGATGGGCGTAATCCAGGTATACCTCCTCTCGCAGATCAGCTCTTAGAGCTTTGTGACTATATGTTGGTTGAGAATGACGAAAGCTTGACTGAAGCTGAAGCAGGCATTGAATCTGCAGATTTTTAGAGATATTGATACTGATTTAATATCCGTAACTTTATTTTTTCAAAGAAGAATGCCCACTTTTGCCGGAGTAAGTTTTTAGGTATTGTGGATTAAAGAGACTGCGTCGGCATTATCTGACATGTCAAGAAGCAACAATGAAAGAAAATAGTCGCATCTCCTGTAAATTTGTGATTATCTGCTGTAATTTGTGTTTGAGGTATTGAATAACATCCGTTTTAAAATTGTATTAGTTGTACAGAGACTGCAATGTTTAAAAAGTTTCATTGACACAAGGGGCTTGTATCTCAAGTGCTTAAGAGCATTTAGCCTGCACTCAATGTCCTAGGTTCGATTCCCCCTCCCCCAATATCTGCTTGACATATCAGTTTTTCAATCAAAATTTCATCTTGCAAAGTCACCGATATGAGCAGGAGGATCAAAAGATTTTTTGTGCTGGATGTTATTTCATCTTCATTTCATGCATCTGACATTCCATTCCAGTATTGGTTTTTGGTTTCCTGAGTACAACTTGATCAATATATCAAATCCTTTCCAACGTTGCAGTTAATTACCCATTGAATGAGTACTAGCAACCTATGCTGATTGAATCCGCGAATGAAAGTTCACATGCACACAAGCGAGTTGTATAATTTTTAGGAGCAATGGTCCTTCAACTTAGGCATGACGTATTGAACAACAAAGAAAAACAAAATTTAGGCATGATTTACATTTTGGTCCTCAAACTCGATTATTGGTTCTGTTAGTTCCTCAACTCCACTTCCTCTCATATCATTAGTCCTGCCTTCAGCCCCTATAAAACACAGTGCCCAACATCCAGGTGAGAACCACCGTCCAAAAGTCCAAGCACAATCAAAGTAGAAGGAATTTCATGCATACTTTTTCTCTTGCTAAACTTGTGGATCCTTAGCTCCCACAATACGCCTCTGGTGCCAACCCGAGTTTAATCTCGATTCAATCCTAATTAGAGTAACGATAAAATATTATTCACACTCTCAGCACCAAGTTCAAACTCAAATAATATCCTTCCAACACCTGGTTTATCCTTCCCGTCAATTCTGTGATATAGAAGAATCAACACATCAACCCCAACGTACTTAGGTTTTGTCCCATCGTTCTTCTCTATCGGAACTCTCTATAGAGATGACGTTTTTCTTGCCAATAATGTCCCAATGAAATGAGCCATTGAAGATAACCATAGCACTCTCTCAAATTCACTTTCGGGGTGTTTTAGGCTTAGTACTACTGGAAACTCAAACACCGGTAAAATAAAACTCGATCCATTGGGTGTGCCAAAAAAAGATGTTTGCTAAACAACTGCCTAGCCTTAGAAATCGATCGAAGCAAGCTCTAGTTAACTCACCTTTGAAATTATGTGAGCATGCCACTATTGATATTGCAAAAGAACTCAATAGAATATATAATTTGTGATTGATTGTGCCTCAAGTAACTAATTTCTAAACAAGCCAATGTGCATTAGGTAGAGATCTAGCTAGATATTGGTTATTTCCCATGCCTTAAAAGCAATAAGGACTTAAATTCCCCATGAATATGATAAAAACCATTTATATACTGCTAGATATCACTTAAGAAAGTAAAAAGAAATCACTCCAAACTAGTAGGAAGAAATTTTGATTGGGTCATGCCGAGTTCTGAATCAAGAATCCTTAAGCAGGCTTGAAACCTCTATAGAACCGATTTGTGATCTAAAAGCAATATGCTAAAATTTGAGTTGACTTGTGTTGAAAAAGTGGTATCTATGGTTCTAAATTTGAGTCGTCTTATATAGTAGTGCTTGAATGACTTAATTAGATTAGGAATCCATTCTAGAGTCGATTTGAATTGCTTGGAGTATGAAGTACTTCAAAATTGATTGCACTGTTTTATGCTCTTGTAGTCTAAATAATGCTTGATCCCCATATTTCTTTTACTTGATCTCCATACTTTATTGTTATATACAAAATACAATATTGAAGGAATGGAAAATCGAACTTAGGACCTTTCTTGATTGTCAAACCTTTGACTCCAAGCAACATGTTCTCAGAGTCGTTCTATGGTGAGGGTGCCATATATGATCCATAAATGTGGACCTTCATATTAACCACATGATTCATCTGAATAGTAACTTCACTTAAGCTTAATGAAATAATCATGTGACTAATATAAAAGGTCCACATGAAGAGTCCACCATATGGCACCCTCACTATAGAATTTCGCCACGTTTCTCACTCTCAACTAGGCGTCGATATTCTCATCAAGTCCAATAGCAAGCCTCAGTCAAGGCCCAAAAACGAATGAATAAAAATAATTATAAACATTAGAAAAACATAATAGAAATGAAGAAATAAAATATAAATAAAAAAAGAAGAAAGAAATTTCTAACGTGGTGGGCTGCAACTTTGACTAAGAAGAAGAGCCATCCGCCGCTCCTGCCAAACCCAAACCCAAACAAACCAACCCACCAGCTTTTAGTTTTACTTTTCTTTTTTTCCTTTCTTCCCCAAAACTAAACTAAACTCTGTTTTCATTTCAAGCTCAAAGACAAAGTCCTCCATTGATATCCCTCTCTCTCTCTCTCTGTCTTTGTCTTTGTCTGCTCTCCAGTGTATGCTTTGCCAAACGAAATCTACAATTTCAATCTCACGCCCAAAGCAAAAGCAAAAGCAATAGCAAAAGCAAAAGCATCCGAATTTTCTGGACTTTGGGTCAACGACGTCAAACCCAGAGATGCTCCAGATTTTGATCGGTCAACGCCAGCTGCTTCCCCAATTTTTAGACTTTGAATTCGAATCAGAATTAGGGATTCGTTTATGAAGAGGCTGAGGCTACTGAGCTGAGCTGAGCTCCTGGAATTTGTGAGGGAAATAGACGCAGTGATGTCCACCACCTCGGGCTCTGCTTCTGTTTGGCTATTTCTGCTGTTTGGTTTCCTTCAACTCCTTAAGCTCTCTGGCAACGTTGAAGGTCTCTTCTTCGTGTGTTGTGTGTGTTTGGTTATGGGAATTTGGGTGAATGAATGACTGATTTGATTTCCTTGGAGACAGGTGACGCATTGAATGCGTTGAAGAGCAATTTAATTGATCCTAACAATGTTCTCCAAAGTTGGGATCCCACTCTCGTCAACCCCTGTACATGGTTTCATGTCACTTGTAATAGTGAAAACAGCGTTACGCGAGTGTAAGCAGCTAAAACACTTCATTTCACTTGTTTCTTTCAGTACATTCATTCAATTCATTTTCCTTCTGTTTATTAAGCAAACCCAGAAAAAGAGAAACATCCAAAAAGGAGAAGAAAAAAAAAAAGACTAATGATATGCTTTTCTTGTTTTTGACATTTGCGCTCATTCAGTGATCTTGGCAATGCCAATCTCTCTGGTCAATTGGTGTCACAACTTGGTGTTCTTTCCAACTTGCAGTACTTGTGAGTGTTTTTGAGTCTACTTGTTTGTCCTTGTATTATCTAAAGTTTCATCAATATGCATCCAAATTGAAATTGGAATCTTACCTTAAAAAGTGAAAAACTGATCCATCGATTCACTACTTCCATTGACAGGGAACTTTATAGTAATAACATAACTGGAAACATTCCAGCAGAGCTTGGAACTTTGACAAACTTGGTCAGCTTGGATCTTTACTTGAACAGTTTACGTGGTACCATTCCCGACACACTTGGCAAGCTAGAAAAACTACGTTTCCTGTATGAACCCGCATCCTTTGTCTACATTCTTTGTTTTTTCTTAACAAATTGTCTTCATTCTTTAGTTGGTGGATTCATTTATTTATGTTCTGATTGATTACGCTTTCTCTGAATGCATCCTGTACAGTCTATTATGTGACTTGTCCACTAACAAATATGGTTTTTCTTTTGGATTTAGAGGATTTAGGTTGTGGTTTAAAGAAAATAAATATATCTTGTATTTGTTTGTTTTATTTGATATGCTAATTTAATGTTTTCAATTATTCCTTCAGTAACATTCATCCTTAGAGTGCATGATAGCATCTAGGTTGAACCCAAACAATTACTTAGGTTGACTATGATCTACCAATATTGTGCCACTGTAGTTAAGGCATCAAGGTGGAGTTTAAACAAATTAGCATAAGGAAAATAATATACAACAGGTCAACAATACGCAAAAGGACAAAAAACATAAATAAGTAATTGGAACCCTTAAGGCAAGATGCCTGGTATCAAGATTCTAAAGAAGGTAATAGTTCACTCAGTAAAGCTAACATGGATGTGACTGGAACTCTAAATGCCAGAAGCATTAAGCTAAAAGCAGTGGTGTAAATATTCTAAAGAATGTCCTAGTAGGAAAGGAAGAAATAATAGTTCCCATAGCTTTTTGCTGTTCCGTTTTGTACCTTGATGATTATGAAACCCCAGGTTGCCAGTTAATCATGGCACATAATAGCTTGAAGAGGCCCTGTCATAAATTTCTTTAGCTCTTTTTGAGTGTTTTGTTTCGTAGTTCTCTATCCCCGGAAATGTTGATGCAGAAGAAGTCTTAAAATAATGCCATCAACTATCTAAAAGAGACTTCATGTGCTAGTAATTGAGTTCATGAAGTTTTAGTCTTAAGGATGATGATTAGCTTATATTTAGTAAGAGTATTCCAGTTTGTGTTTCTATCTGATCTCAATCTTTTATATTGCAAATAGTAGTATAACATTGAGTTTTAATTGGAGTGTTATAATTTCCAATTTAGTTTTCGAGCCATCCTTGTGATCTCTCTTAGGTTTATCATAAGAAAATTATCATGGTCTCTTTTTGGCTTCTCAACAACTTTCACTTTTCTGGGCATGCAGAAGTTAGGGAGATTTATTTATTTTCCTGAATACTGAGTATGTTAAAAAGAGAATCCATTGATTTCCCAGAAATGCTGTGCTTTAATCCTTGGTATCTCAAGCAGTAACGGTTACTAGATTCATATTATCTAACCAGTGAAGGATCCTGCGGAATGTGTAGTCTGTTTCAACACTATGTGCACGCATGACTTGCACATTCTTCTAGCGTTTGAATGTGACAAGAAACATGTGAAGAAAAATAAAAACCACAAAACTTCGTTTCAGTCTATTTATCATCTACCCTTGGAAAAAATTGAATAGTGATGTGTTAGAAATACAATATATGTTGTCATTGGAATTATTGGGGATATAACAGTTTCTGTTCCATGAAATAGGCGTCTCAACAACAACACCTTGACGGGGAATATTCCCATGGCTTTGACTAAGATTCAATCGTTGCAAGTCCTGTGAGTTTTGTACCCTTTTCATCTCAATAAGGAGAGAGCGAGAGAGAGAAGGGTTACTAGTTTCTCTACCATCAGAGAATGCAAATAACAAAGTTTTTTTATACATGGAATGCAGGGATCTTTCAAATAACAATCTGACTGGAGATATTCCGGTCAATGGTTCTTTTTCACTTTTTACTCCCATCAGGTTTGTAGAGGCTATTTTATTCTTTTTCTTTTGGAAGGCTTATGTAAATGATGTACTCACTGACATTATTCCTCATTTTGCAGTTACAAAAATAACCGTCTGAATCCTCTTCCAGTCACTCCATCTCCTCCTGTTTCTCCAACCCAGTTCCAAGTTCTCCAGGTTTTACCAGTTATAGTATTTTTTTTTTTATGTTTGAATATTTTCCAGGAACTTTTTGGCTATCCCTTGTGTTTATATATTTATTTTCATAATATGAGATGCTTGTTGCAATCACAGAAATGAAGAAGAAGAAGAAGAAGAGAGAGAGAGACAGAGAGAGAGAGTTATATAACATCTGACTTTGATGAGAGAGAGAGAGTTATATAACACTGACTTTGATAATTTTTCATTATATAACATCTAACATTAATGAATTTTTATTTAGGTTCTAGCTCATGTCATGCAAATAAACCTTCTGCTTAACTCTGGTGATTCTTATTAGGTAACACTGCTACTGGGGCTATTGCTGGAGGGGTTGCTGCCGGTGCTGCTTTGCTGTTTGCTGCACCTGCAATTGCACTTGCTTGGTGGCGACGAAGAAAACCACAGGATCATTTCTTTGATGTACCTGGTTAGTCAATTATAAAAGAATAATTTAACTTGATCAGGATCATGTTGTATTATGGGATGCATGTTTCACTGATCTATACACTTTGCAGCGGAGGAGGATCCAGAAGTTCATTTGGGACAGCTCAAAAGGTTTTCTTTGCGCGAGCTACAAGTTGCAACAGATACCTTTAGCAATAAAAATATTCTAGGTAGAGGTGGATTTGGTAAGGTTTATAAAGGACGTTTAGCTGATGGGACTCTGGTAGCTGTAAAAAGACTTAAAGAGGAGAGAACCCAAGGCGGGGAGCTACAGTTCCAAACAGAAGTTGAAATGATTAGCATGGCTGTCCACCGCAATCTGCTTCGTCTGCGTGGATTTTGCATGACACCAACAGAAAGGCTGCTTGTATATCCTTATATGGCTAATGGAAGTGTAGCATCATGTTTAAGAGGTAGTGTTTTAAATTCTTTGCTATGTTGATGAATCTATTTTTTTCTTGACATTAGGAAATTATTTCGAATACATTGATTCAATAAATTATTTTTTCAGTTATAAGTTACCTTTGTGATGTTGATCTTATTTCTTCTAATTTGAGGATACCAACAAATTCTTTTTTATCTTTTCCTTTGGGGAGGTTTGGTGAGATCACACGACCTATTCTGTAATTCTGCTTTCATGATTATGTCTATGAATTATTGTAGATCGTCCAGAAGCACAGCCTCCACTTGATTGGGAAATAAGAAAACGCATATCATTGGGATCTGCAAGAGGCCTTGCTTATTTGCATGATCATTGTGATCCGAAAATTATTCACCGTGATGTCAAAGCTGCAAACATATTGTTAGATGAAGAATTCGAAGCAGTTGTTGGAGACTTTGGATTGGCTAAACTCATGGATTACAAAGATACGCATGTTACCACAGCTGTACGTGGCACAATTGGTCATATAGCACCAGAGTATCTCTCAACAGGAAAGTCGTCAGAGAAAACTGATGTTTTTGGATATGGAGTCATGCTTCTTGAACTTATCACTGGGCAGAGGGCTTTCGATCTTGCTCGGCTTGCAAATGATGATGATGTGATGTTGCTTGATTGGGTATGCATTTACGTTTTTCTATTTCTGTATGTAGCTAATTTATTATTCAATGCAGATTAGATAATTCCCTGCGAAGGTTTCTGTAATTGTTTTGGGTAGTTGCCTGAAAAATAATTAAAAGATAGTAATAGTTATTTAAACAGCTGGTCAGTTCCTGTTGGATGCATGTAGAAAATGTAGAACAGACTTGTCCTTTTTGGCTCAAATGTAGAAAACAGTTACAATGATGGACGGAAGAAGAAAAAATAATATTTACTTTAGGTGTAGGCAGAAAAAGCTTAGAAAATCAGTTCAATTTGATTAGCTTTTACTAATTGGAAGTACATTTTAGCTGCAATTATTTATTTAGCTTTATTTACAACATTTAAGTTTTATCTATTAGAGATAAATTATAATTTTATTTTAGCACTTATATTGTTATTAATATAATTTGTATAATCACTAATATATATTATATTACTATTATTTGTTGTTATCGTTATAATTTTTGTTCTTGTTGGTTGGCCTTACTGTGACTGTTAGTGACAACTACTTTGGTACATTATATTAGGTTATCATACCAAACTACTTTGGTCCATTACACGCTTTCGTGTTTAAACATTATGGGCACATTTGTGCTGTCCCTGGTACCATATTTTTCTTTTCAACTTGTGGAACTACCTAACTTTTAATTTTTTAAAAATAAAATAAAATAAAATTTAGGTCAAAGGATTGTTGAAAGATCGGAGATTGGAAGCTCTTGTTGATGCTGATCTAAATGGTAACTATATCGACGACGAAGTGGAGCAGCTGATCCAAGTAGCTCTACTCTGCACGCAAGGCACCCCAGGGGAAAGGCCCAAGATGTCAGAGGTTGTCAGAATGCTTGAAGGGGATGGTTTGGCGGAAAGATGGGAGGAGTGGCAGAAAGAGGAGATGTTCCGCCAAGACTTCAACCCTATTCAACATGCAAGTACGAATTGGATCATGGACTCTAGTTCTCAAATTCCACCCGATGAGTTGTCCGGTCCCAGGTGATACGCTCCTTCATTCCGTCCTCTGTATACATGTAAGAAGCCTTCAGGAATTGACAAGGCCCATTTTGTATTTCAGCAATACTACATTTGTGTATATGTTTGTCTTTTCTCCTCTTATTTGCTTTTGTTTTCCATTGTATTCTTCTCTAATGTCTTGTTTATATCACACAATGGAGCTGGTGCTGCTGTAATTTTTATAGGGTTGTTAACTGGCATTATGAAATTATGGTGCTAGCAACACGGCAGGAACTAGGAAGGGCCATAAAAGCACCCATTCCTTATCATTTTTATGTACCCGGAAATTAGTCAAGATTGTCGAATAAATAAATCTTTATTTCCTGCATCGCAGAATGATTTTGTATTAAAATTAAGGTGTTCCATTACCGTACATATTACCATGTCATCATTCCTTTCTGGTTCATTTTTACTTGTGGCCAAGCTATGGTCTATGATTCGAATGTAAATGAAAAAATTCCTTCAGCAATGCAAGATTCATGCAGGGTGAATTAAGAAACAATGTGTGCTATTCCTTGTAGTGTATTGTTTTTTCTTCTTTCTTTTTCCCTTTTTTTGGGGTTGTGGAGGGAGGGCTTAAATAGGTGTCTGGGAACACATGAATCATGATCTATTATGTGTGTTATAACTTATAATCTCTATCCCCGTTAAGCATTTCACCTCCATCCCACTATCTCCATCTCTATCCTCATTAAGCATTTCACTTCCATCTTCATACCCACAATATTCAAATTGGGGATTGCATATCCTTATCTTCATTGGAGACCTGCCCTATTACACAACTATGATGACATGAGGATTCGAACATAACACCTCTCGTTCAAGACCTTTTTCCCACTGTACTAGACCCATTGGGATGTAGGCTAGAAGATTTATAAACGATAAAACTAGGGCAAGATTTATATAAATGACATAAATATATTAATTTAATATTATGCAATACAAAATTTGGTGGGCACAATCACTTTAATAATATATTTATATGAAAAATAAATTATATATATGTATTCCATACGGGGCGAGTTTGAGTAGGGGATTAGAATATCATCCCCGTTTTTCCCCAAACACTACTTGAAAAATTCTCCAAACCTATCCCCATATCTATTTTTATCATTCATACCCCGCCCATTTAAGGTCAAAGCTTTATGAAGACCCTTATTGATGGGAAAATTGTCATCCATTAATTTGGCTATAACTTCATAATTACAAGATTCGACATTGGGGATTGGCGAGAACTAGCTTTCATAACTGAAGAGAGATATTTTTTTCAATAGGAAAAAGAGGGAGAATTTCAGGTGAGAGAGAGGTGTTAACAGAAGTTTTGAGGTAAAGTAAGGCTTGCTCCCATTTAAAAAAACAAAAGAGAACCAAAGATAGAAACAGTGTTCGACATTTTCAAAGAATATCAACACTAACCGAAGATTCATTTTTTTAAATTTAAATTTAAAAAAACACTAACCGAAGATGCAAATAGTGTTCAAAATTCTTCTTTTTTTTATTATATATATTTTTATAATCAATTTTGGGTTTTGAGGGAGGATATATGTCACGACACAGTTTTTTATATTTTATATTTTTGTGTCAATACGACACGGCTTTACTATCAAAATATTGTTCGCTTTGGGTCTGGAATCGGTTTTGCTAGGAAGTTATGTCCACACATATATGGCACTTCACATTTCCCTTCCTGAACGATGTGGCGCTCACTGATCTTGCCCTTCTTGTCTTGCATCCTTTCTTCTTTCTTCTTGTTTTCTTATTGATATTTTAGTCCATTTTATCATTAAAAATTTGAATCTCACATATGCCACATCATCACTTAAAATTTACATAGGGTTGTGAAAATTGAAATTGCCCATGAACATACCTTAAGGGTACAATTGCAAGGCACCAAATGAAATTAACCCTAAGTCAAATTTTCAATATCATATCCTTTTGAGTCATTATACAGTCACCAAACTAAGTCCCCCTCTACAACCAAACAAGAAAAAAAAACACATACACGCACTACACTTCTAGGAATGCAGAAGAACCACAGCACACATTGTTTTTTCAACCACTGTGCATCAATTTTGCATTTGGCTGAGATATTTTTTATTTATAAAGAAACCAACCATCATACCCAAATTAAACGAAGCCAGAATCAACCCTATAAACAAATATAGTGTTCCAAAAAATATATATATCAACCCCAAAAAACAAATTCAGCCCCTATAAGAATGATGACATAAACAACCCTATAAAAATTACAGCAGCACCAGCTCCATTGTGTGATATAAACAAGGTATTAGAGAAGAATAAAGTGGAAAAATAAATAAATAAAAGCAAATGAGAGAAGAGAAAAGACAAACATACGTTAAATTTCAAAAAGACATACTAGCAATCCACAAATAGCAACACTGATATTGTATCAAACTTAACCACCTACATACATGTAGGTGTGAAGTTTTATCACAAAAGGTCACCGTGCTATTAATAGTGGACTCATTCATTATATGTTATATTTTATTTAATCCAATATCATATGTGGTACTTTATATTCTTCAAAAACAATTTCACAAAGGTGGTATCTGCTGAACACAAACTTGTCTGCATAGATACAGAGGGCGGAAGCAAGGAGTGCATCACCTGGGACCGGACAACACATCGGGTGGAATTTGAGAACTAGAGTCCATGATCCAATTCGTACTTGCATGTTGAATAGGGTTGAAGTCTTGGTCGAACATCTCCTCTTTCTGCCAGGCCTCCCATCTTTCAGCCAAACCATCCCCTCCAAGCATTTGGACAACCTCAGACATCTTGAGCCGTTTCCCTGGGGAGCCTTGTGTGCAGAGTAGAGCTACTTGGATCAGCTGCTCCACCTCGTCGTCAATATAGTAACGCATTAGATCAGGATCAACAAGTGCTTCCAATCTCCGATCTTTCAATAGTCCTTTGACCTGAATTTTATTTTATTTATAATAATAAAAAAATGTTAGGATGTTTCGTAAGTTGAAACGAAAAAAGGAGATGGTACCAACCAATTAGTAAAAGCTAGTTAAATTGAACTTATTTTCTACGCTTGTTCTGCCAACACCTACAAGTGTTTTCTACATGAATCTAATCGGAACTTGTCATTACTATTTTTTAAATATTTCCACAAGGAAAACAAGATAACGGAAATTTTCACAGGGAACTACGTGATCAGATCTGCAAGGTGTACTAAATTAGCTACATGCAGAAACAGAAAAACGTAAACGCATACCCAATCAAATAAAAAGACATCATCATTATTTGCAAGCATAGCAAGATGAAAAGCCGTCTTCCCAGTGACAAGTTCAAGAAGCATGACTCCATATCCAAAAACATCAGTTTTCTCTGATGACTTTCCAGTTGAGAGATACTCTGGCGCTATATGACCCATTGTGCCACGTACAGCTGTGGTAACGTGTGTATCCTTGTAATCCATGAGTTTGGCCAATCCAAAGTCTCCAACGACTGCTTCGAATTCCTCATCTAACAATATGTTTGCAGCTTTCACATCACGGTGAATAATTTTCGGATCACAGTGATCATGTAAATAAGCAAGGCCTCTTGCAGATCCCAATGCGATGCGTTTTCTTTTTTCCCACTCAAGTGGAGGCTGTGCTTCTGTACGATCTACATTAATGTATAGACATAATCATGAAAGCAGAATTACAGAATAGGTCATGTGATCTCACCATAACTCCCCAAACCCAAAAACTTTGTTCATCTTGGTATCCTCAAATTAGACGGAAAAAAGATCAACATCAAGAATTCGAAATAATTTGTTAATGTCATAAAAACAGAGAATGATCCACATAGCAAAGAATTTAAAAGACTACCTCTTAAACATGATGCTACACTTCCATTAGCCATATAAGGATATACAAGCAGCCTTTCTGTTTGTGTCATGCAAAATCCGCGCAGACGAAGCAGATTGCGGTGGACAGCCATGGTAATCAGTCCAACTTCTGTTTGGAACTGTAGCTCCTCACCTTGTGTTTTCTCCGCTTTCAGTCTTTTTACAGCCACCAGAGTCCCATCAGCTAAACGTCCTTTATAAACCGTACCAAATCCACCTCTACCTAGAATATTTCTATGGCTAAAGGTATCTGTTGCAACTTGTAGCTCATGCAAAGAATACCTTCTGAGCTGTCGGAAATTGACTTCTCGATCCTCGTCCGCTGCAGGCCTTCTGATCTGTGTGAAATCGACTTCTGGATCCTCGTCCGCTGCAGAGTTTATACATAAGTAAAACATGCACCCCATGTGTTAGTGTGTGGAAGTTGAGGCTGGGAGGAGAATGTCCGGCCGGTTGGACTCGACTCGAGCTATAGAAGGTGCCACTGGGTCTCCGGATTTGTTACTGTTGAAACTCGCGGATGGAGCTTTGAGGCCGAGCCCAAAGAAGGAGAGATGTGCGGCTCATCTACCTCTCGGAACCGAAGCTGAACCACCGACGTATCGGTTTACCGAACGAACGAGCGGAGAGTTTCCGAACTGTTCTCTCCTTCTTTTCTCCCAAACAGGCCCGAAGTAACGGCGCAAAGACAGAGAGAAAGAGAGATAGCGGGACAGGGAGAAGAGGAGATGAAGTCTTGCATTGTTGGAAGTTTCTTGTGCTTTTCTCTTCTTTGCCCAAGACTTCATCTACAAAATTGGTCAACAAGTATCATAATTTAGTAATAAAAGTGAAAATAAAAATTTTAAAGTAAAATTGAAATAGTTATCAAACGGGTCCTAAATTTTTTATTAATGCTATATAGTTAAATTGTTTGAAATGAAATATTAACAATGTTCAGAGGTTATGTTGCATGTACCGTCCAAAATTGATGGATTATGAAGCGTTGTTGTATGATCTTCAGATATGGACACAAAAGTTATGAACTAATGAATTTAGGCCAATGGTTTTTAATTAAAACCATTACATAATTTTTTAAATTTATATTTAGGAAATAATAATAATTTGTTTTTAATGAAACGAATATTAAAAACATTAAGCATTGAATCCTTTCCCTTTTCTTTTCTTTAGCAGGGAACTTTATTTTCTGAATAAAGTTCATTGTACCCATCAAGTCTATGTTTTTTTGCTCCAACACTAATTTTAAAACACCTATTTTACCTTTATACGTAATTATCATTATAGACAAAGAACATTTAAAATAAAAAATAAAGAATCTTATCACTAGATCCAACATAACAATATACATTCTGCAACCCTAGTTAGACTTATTTTTCAGACTACTTTTTCAACCTATCATATTGCTAGATTCTTGTCTCGTAACTAAACCATAACAAGTGCAATTACGCTTAATTATATTGGTCAAACCATATATACTATTTACCCATGAAGGGTGAAATTGAAGTAAGGGAGTCTTCGAATGAGGCATGGGTTAATTTTGTTGTGTTTTTTAAGTGTTTAGTTACATGGTGGTCGCTGCTTTTTCAATACTAAATTTTGGTGAGTTTAGTTGTAGATGACCGAAATTTAACCTAATATTTGGTGTCATTCTATCATGAAATTGAAAGTAGTTCGGTTGTATCTGACAGAATTTGTACCTATTATTTGGTGGTGACCCACCGAAAATTATTCATTTTTTCAATAAGTTGTCGACCATAAACTTAATGCAATATATTTTTACCTTTTTCCTATTGAATTAACAAAAAGAAGGTGACGTTGCTGTTGGAAGCAAAAATATTGGACTAGAATGTGTAATGGACTACAATGATCAATTCATAGCTTAGAGGTAATCATTTTTAGTAATTTTTTTTTTTTGGGTCTAAAATCTTGTTTTTTTTTAAATATGCAAGCGATAATCTAAGGGAGGTGGATTTGAACTCGAGTGCAGAGTGGGGAGCACATCCGTTTTAGCCAACTTGGCTAAGCCCATGTGTATTGTCTTAATCAGTTTTAGTATCATTAACGTGACATTACATTTCAAATTTTAATTTCAAATCACATGAGTGTGACGTGTAGATATTCAAAGGTAAAGATGCATTATTTAGATGGGCTCGTGCACAAGAAAAGATGAATAATATCGTAGTTGTTATTAGAAGGTCTAATTATGGAGTTAAGGGCAAGAGGTTGAAGAGACCTTGAGTAACACTGGCTTGTGAGAGAAACGGTAAATATGAGACAAATGGTGCAAGGTTAAATGCAAATGGTAATATGAAAAAGCATTGGAGAAACACTGGTAATATGAAATGTGGATGCCCATTCTTGTTAAAGGGTGTCAATATTGGTGATGGGATGATTGGAAGTTAGAGGTGGTTTGTGAAATACGTAGCCATGCTACTTCGGAGTATCTTGAAGGTCATTCATTGCACTTTCTGAAGAGAAGAATGCTTTGTTGGTAGACATGTTTAAGAGTCTGGTGAAACTCGTATATTTTGGTCACCCGGAAAGATAGGGATACAATGAATGTTTCAACTATCACGATAATATACAATACTAGGATCCGAAATATAACAAAAGAATTTACTGGATGAACACAAATTCAACAATTGATTATTAAGTTGTTCGAACACAATTGGTTTTGTTGATTATGATCATTATATCCAAGTATGAATTTATTTGTCTAAGAACCCTCTCAAGATGGTAGGGATCAACAACATCACAACACTTGAGCAGAGCATCCATGACTTTTAGGTTTATGTGAGTTTTAATTTTGAGGGTAGTTGTGTATATTTAAGTAGATTTTATGCTATATCTGAAAGTTTTTATAAAATTGACATTTATGAAAGTATGAGTTAAATTTTGGCCTTTTTATCATGCAGGGGCTAACAATGAACAATTATGTTAAAGACTTAACAGTATGAGCTTACAATCCTTCATAGTACTTAAATTTTAGTTTATAATAACTTAGTTTTTATATATAATGATTTTGCTAATTTTGACCCTACACTAGCAATTCAACTAAAGGAACCTAACGGTAGTAGTAGAGGTAAATGTCTATGTTAGAACCTGTAAGGTCGCATTAGAATAAGCACAAACATCAGAGGACTGAAATTTAGCCAAAACTTTTTAAGGTTTTGAATTCTCGGAACAAAAGAACAAGATCCAGTCATATCATTGTAGCTCCAGGAAAGGAATATTTGCAGCACAACCTAGTCTAAGAACAAACTGATGGGAGCAGCTTCACGAGGAATGGAAACTCAAAAAAAGGACTAGAGGAACCCTCCTGTGTCTGACCGGAAAAAAAAAATTCCTGTCTAAACGTCTGTCAGAGGGGCTAGCCTTGCTCATACGTTGATAACTAACAACTTCCATATACAGAAATAGCTCATAACCGATATGGCGGGTCGACCAGCTTCACCTTTTTCCACCAGTGTTAACTCGTGGTTTGCTTTTAACCTCGGCTTCCTGAAAACAAAGAAATATATAAACGTCCAGTCTTGAGTATTTTCAGGCCATCATGAACAAAATTGTTGAAATGTATTGTCTGAATATACCTGTGGCAAATGGAGGAAAATGTAGTTCTTTGCGGTAGCTGGATTATGATTTTCTGCACCCTTGCTCCAATCATAGCAAACCTGCAAACAAAAGTTCAGAAAAGATCTTCAAAATAATATTTAAATTATGAGAAGAAAATATGTGGAGAGTTCGTTTGAGTCTTGTGCAATCAGTTTTCAAGTCATATTTGCTTGTACAGAAAGGATAACCAAGGTGTAATGCGAGGCATTTAATTACTCTAAGAGATTGTAACCATAGACCACCATTAGTCACTTGTGTACACAAAGAAACATCATCGTACAATGGCACACGACAAGAGAAAAAAGAAACAAAAGTTAAAGGCAAGCAACCATATAGAGCTAAGGTTCATTGGAGGTACAAATTGAGATTACAGAAAGGTTGATCATCATCGCAGTAACTAATATAAAAATACATCCACAAAAAGCATTGCCTGAAATTTTGGCACAATGACAATCTAAATATTCAAGGATGGTTTACTATAAAGTCATAAGATAGTTGTGGCCATAATAGTGTACAGTTGAATGACCTCTCCCGATAAAGGTTTAGCTGGCCATACTCCGTTTCCAAAAATGTAATCTGACATAACTACTTCTACCACTTTAAACCAGTTGAAGAACATGAATTGTATACATGTACACAACTACCAGTCATTTCCGACCCCAGATTTGAAAGAGGAAACCCAGAAAAGTTGGGATGGTATTTCCCTTTTTCTAAATTTACATTACACAATGACTCAGTCACATGAATCAATAATATTAACAGTCGAGAATGATCTTAAGTAGAGCATGACACTAATTTAGTGGAAATTTAAGCACAAAGTGTATAAGAGAACCCTCAGAATATTCTTATAGATCAATGAAGTCATGACGCAAGGTGGTATGTGCGAGTGTGTTGTGAAAACACTGCTATAGATTAGGCTGCCTTGGTATGAGTTAGTGCTGTGAATTTATGTGTGCAGGTGGTGCGCGTGAATACAGACACAGAGAGAGAGAGAGAGAGAGTCTTCATATTGGTTGTGCAATCATGAAGAAAGAGAATTACCGCATATGCAAATATGGAACCATCATTGTTGAATGTACTGCAAGGTATAGGTTGATTGCACCTTGACATTGCCTGAAAAATCAGAAAAGAGTTGTATTAGACACCTATACGCATATAACATAGGATTAGCCATAGACCGAACATATAAACAAGAGAGTTGGAGAAGCACATAATACAAAGACAAAAGAAATAGAAAATAGATGTGGGAGAAACCTTCAGTCTCTGTTTGCTATCCTTATCCCAAAAATTGAAAGAACCATCGGAACCAGCAGTAGTAAATGTGTGATGCACCTGAAACAAGGGACACAAATAAGCTTTAAAATTAGAAATAATTGTAATAGAACACAAAAACACAGATTTATCCAAAATTTCTTTGAACAACCCTAACAAGAACCATAATGAAATGGCAATGAATGCTGGAAAAAAAGTTTGGACTGATCATAGAAAAATTAGGCATTCCCAGTCATAATTCTGAAGTAAAACAAAGAACACTGATCCAAATGCACTTAAAGTTACCTCATATAATAGAACAAAATCAACTGAAATATATTTAAAGGAAACTTTAAAATTCGTGCATATGCCAATAAATCCACTGATATAAAAAAAATCTGAAACCTGAACAACGGATAGTATAAAATCGGGAACCTTCACAATAGATAGAATAATATACAAGTCCTGTAATTTTAAGGTGAGGGCTGTACCAATGACACTAATACCATACTTCTACAAAAAACATCATAGTCTATGAATGACAAGGTTGAAAACAATGTCTCTGATTTTTTCTTAACCAGGATACTGAAACATGAGAACACTAAATTAACGAAGAGGTTTCATAAGTTTAAGGTAATCCACCAGAAGAAATACAAACATTATTAAGCCTCTCAGTGCATTATCCAGAAATATAAATATGTATACGAAGAAGGAAAAAGACAAAGGAATAATACAAATCATACTGGATGGAAGTTCAGAGAGTTGACTGAGTATATCTCGCTGCCCTCTCTATGGCACTTAAAGGTAAAGTTTTT